CTTTTTCAAATCCTTCCAAACCCCTTCTGCCGTGTTGATCCATAATACACCTCTGCTAATCATAGGGGAAAGAGCTCTGAGGATCCATGAAAGACCCATTGTGTTGCATTGATCCCAAATACAAATACCTAGGATTATTTTGAGTGGGAATTGGCTGCGATTCATCTACAATTACCATTTTGTTATTGGATATTAGAGTCATTTCCATGGCTCTTGCCCATGGATGATAGTTTGATCATCCTTCGAGCTGAGCCGTGACTAACTGTAACGATGGACTCTCGTTGGGAAGAAGGAATAGAGGATCAGTGCGATCTTTATGATCAAAGGCCGCAGGATTTGCAGTAGGAATTGCTACTGGAGTTGGAACTGGGATGGTGTTCACCGGAGTGACTCCCGGATTCGAAGTCGTTGCTTGATGCACCATGTTCACACTATGTGTTCGCCAAGTCATGATTATGGCTCTGATACCATTTCGGGAAAATGAAGTGGAAAGCTAATAGAGAAGGCAGAGATGAAGAGAAAAGTGTTTCATTCATCATCTTTCACCGATGTAACAGTAAAGCCATATAAACCAATGGCAGTAACAAAAAAGTCTGTTATGTTGGTTACAAGAGTGAGGGAAGGAGTTTGAATCTAAAACAGTAAAAGTGCTAGTTATAATGGTGTTTGAGCTGCTGCCTACTGCATGTGCTGACAACTTGTTGCACTTAACTCCGAATATCTATTTTCAAAAAAAGTTAGATCAGCGGAGTAAAACATGTTTACAATTATGGATGATAATTTGCCCTATCCTCAACGAGGAACCTCGATGGGGGAAGAAGATGCAAATTTTTTTTTTTTTTTTGGGAAATAAGGACGGGGACAAAGTGTGTGTGTATTCAGCGTCAAGGACATGAGTAGTCTTCCTCGCCCCACCCCGTCCCCGAATAATTATTATAAACACACACACACTTAAGTGGTTGAGTGAAAGGGACTCGTCCATCCTTAACCAAATATTGTCCCACCCAAAAGAGGTGCCTACAATCTAGCGAGAGGATTAGTCACTGTGTTCGACGGTAAAAATTCTGGATATACCCAAAAAAAATACACACACACACACTTAAGTATTTTGAGTTTTGAATTTAGGACTTAGGTTTTCAATTTTGTATTTGATTATTAAAAATTGCATTAATTTGACACTTTGACTAGAAGGTTGACCGGTGACGGGGAATCCACGTCTCCCGCCTAATTCTCTGCGGGGGAATATGAATAGAAGTTTTTTCAATTTCCCGCCAGAAACAGAGACGGAGTCAGAGTCACACAAAAGGAGATATGGAGTATACTCCCTTACCTATTGCCATTTCTATATAAAATAAAATCAACAATTTAACATTTGCATGCTCCTATTTTTAGTCCAAAATCGTCATTTATTGAAAGATAAAATGACTATTAATTAATGTTTTAAATGACTTAAAAAATTTACAATTATTATTCAAAAATATGTACTAAATAAAATATACAAATTATACCAAAAAATAAATCACACTAAAAAATTTAAATGCCATAAATTTGACAAATAAAATATTGGTAAAATCAAATTTATAACTATTTGCTTATTTGGTACCCATAAAAAAAAGACCATTAATTTGGGAAATAAACTAGTGGGTTTTGCATTTCCCCCACTGTACGCTTGGGTTTAGGAGCGCCACTGCGGCACTACGCAGACGCATATAACTGCGATTTATTCAGCTTCCCCGCATCTCCGCCGCCACTGCTACTCTTCTCCGGCGGTGATAATCGCGTGAAAATATCATTGAATCCGAAACAGAGAAGAGCAAAGAAGAAGACCATGTGGTACCTATGCGTGTTCTACCATAGATTGCTGGACTACCGAAGACCAGAGGTCGAATCTCTCGCCCAGCTGTTGGGCGCCTTCGACAACGACCAGAGAAGCGGCGCCTCCGAACATTCTTTGGAATGGAGACTTCCTCAGCACTACCATCCTGACTCGCCTTTCCATTTCGTCAACCTCCCTTCCGAAGAGATCGCTCGCAATGTCGCAAATAGAAGTATGCCTCTTAACCCCTTAATTCCAAATTCCCAAAAATTATTTCCCTGTAGCCTTAAATTTTAAATAATTTAATTTATTGAGTAGGCACATATTGAGTTTTACTTAAAAAAATATATTATGTTTCTGTAATGGAGGGAAGGATACGTGCTTGACTGCTTGTATTAGACTGCTTGTATTAGAGACTATAGTCCAGTTTGGTTTTTACATGGTTCATTCAAACCATATAGTATTGTATGGCATTTTGACTAATGCATTACACAGGTATCCTTGTAAAGGGAATCTATGAACTCTGGGGAGAAGGAAGCAGCCTTGAGGAACTGGAAGAAGCAATAAAGAGTTTTCCAGATGAGCGGAAGTTGCCATACCTGACATCTGATAGCACATTTAAGATAATTGTTGACAGCTTTGGGAAGGTTATCAGCTTCCAAGAGCAAAATGACCGTATTCAAGCTCTCTCTTACATTCCTTTCAAGGTCCAGTCTTTTGTTGAAGTATATTTATTTAAGCATGTGATGTGATATTCTGTATAATGGATAGGCTTATTGTACAATGTTTTTGGTACATTCATTAGCGAAAGTATTGTCCTTAAAATGACCCCATCACTCACTATTCCATTGTAAAGTTAGTTGTGAATGTAATTCTAGTTTAGTGTTTGTAGAATTGGCATTTAAAATGCCTTCTTGGTTACTTATGTGGGTTATCACAGAGCCATGGAGCCTTCCCGTTGAGAACAAGAGATTTATGTTTAGTCAGAGTTGTGTGTTTAATTTGTCTACTTTAAGGTAATTTTTCCCAGGAAGCTGATGCGGATATTAACCTTTTCTCTACCTATGGTGTTTCAGGGTCGGGTGAATTTACGAAATCCAGATCACAAATTCTACCTTATTGAAACTGATAACTATGGGTGTAATAATGGGCTACCTCCTATTGTTCAGAGGAGAGTCTTTTTTGGCCGGGAGATTGGTGCTGCTGATAGAAAACTTTTGCCTACTTATCAGTTGAAAAGCCGTAACTATCTTGGCCCAACAGCCATGGATGCAGAAATGGCATTCCTGATGGCCAACCAAGCACAGGTGAAACATGGGAAACTTGTCTATGATCCATTTGTTGGCACTGGAAGCATTCTAGTTGCAGCTGCTCATTATGGAGCAATGACAATGGTTAGTCTTTCCCATATGTGTTGGGCTCACTTGAAGACATGAAAAAAATGCGTCGATTTTTTTGCTTCCTTTACTAAGTGAACTGTGCAGGGTGCAGATATTGACATTCGGGTAGTGCGTGATGGCCGTGGTCCTGATTGTAATGTCTGGAGTAATTTCAAGCAGGTCAGTTGGTTGGAGTATGTGCTCTCTTAGGCCTTAGTGTAGTGAGTGGGACTGCTAAGTGGATATTATATTATCTATTTTTATCACTCTTATGTGAATTTATTTATGCCAACATGTGAAGTGTGGAATTTAATGTTATCCATTGGCTTTGAAAGTTATATAATACCATACTTCTTTTTGTTGCCTGCAGTATGGATTGCAAATGCCCATCTCTTTATTAAGGGCAGACAATAACCTTCCTCCTTGGCGCCCAGGGTTGAAAGAGGTAGCTGTTTACCCACCCCCCCACCCCCACCCCCACCCCCTCTTCATTTGAGCCTATCTATTCCGCTCTTGTTATTTTGCATAAAGAGGGGAGATGTTGAGCAGTTATAATGCATTCCTATCAATAATAGACCATGTTATAGCATGAACTGTTTTTCTGACTTCACCTGGACATTTCTTAGCCATTCAAGCTCATGTGTTCAGTTGGATGAATGACCTGGATTCTTAGTTTGTGAATTATTGAATTGCTTCCTTCCTTTTGTTTCTGAACCTTAGTGTGGGTTTTTAATCAGGTATTTGATGCAATAATATGTGACCCACCATATGGAGTTCGAGCTGGGGGCCGTAAATCAGGTGGCAGAAAGCTTTTGAAAGGAGTTGTTGACCCATATACTGTTCCAGACGACAAAAGGACAGACCACATACCATCTACTGCTTCTTACAGCTTAGTGGAGTGCGTACATGATCTGCTTGACCTTGCTGCTAGGATGCTCGTCATGGGTGGGCGATTGGTGTATTTTTTCCCAGTGTTAAGAGACGATGAATCAATTACTCCTACATTTCCAGAACACCCTTGTTTCAGATTGGTTGCCTCCTCTGAGCAGATACTAAGCTTAAGATACAGCCGGGTACTGCTTACCATGGTGAAAACCGGGCCTTATACTGAAGATATCGCAGAGGCAGCAAGAATCAAACATTTGGAGTTCAAGGCGAACCATCTGAAGTGGTTGGAAGAAGGTAATCTTCATTCCGCAGTTTTCAGTCCTGCTGACTCGAAGCTTAATGAGTCGGGTGAAACGAAAGTAAGTAAAGATGCAAAGCCTAGATACAGAGGCAAATATGTCTAGGTAGACTGACATTCTACAGCCCAACTTCAAGTTCACTGGTTTACAGTTTACACCTTTTTGATTGTCCGCTGCCTGGGTTGCAATCCTCGCTCCTTATGATCTTGTTGTCATTGTTTGACCTAGATTTCTGATCGTGTTGTCGTTGTTTGACCTAGATTTATGTAGTACTGTTGTTCACTTTTTCTCTTGTATCCAAAAGAAAAGTTCAATTTTGTAGTGTAATAACTAAAATGTATTTTCAGTTTGGCTTAGATAAGCATACAGAAATATTGCTTGTTTTAGAGCTTAGTCATTTTATGCACTGTTTGCCCCTCCCATCATCATCATCATCATCTATCCTCTCCAAACTTCTGTTCTTCAGTGATTATGGGACTTGTATTCTGAGTCTCTTTTTTGAATCATTAATGACAAGAAAATGCAACCACTCATAGTGTCTTTCAAATTTTATTCCATGTTATATAATGAAGATTAACTATTTCATTGATATTATATAATATCATACAGTATACATGTTTTAGCTGTTAGTCTTGCAGCCGGATTTTCTGGTTCAGTTGCTGCTGCTCCTTCCCATGCATTTGATACTGCAAAAAGTCGTGATCAGTGCAATGTTGTGCCTAAGGTGTGTTCCTGACAAAAAAAATTGATTTTTTTTTTTCTTCTATGTGCAATGTGCATGTCTTTCTAAGCGATCTCTTTTAATCTCATGCTACATGGTCTGTCTTGGCTGCTCACGCTAATCATGTAGCGCACTTTGTCAGTTAGTCGGCCATTATATTGTTAACTTAGTAGTCAGGCACAATTGTCTTATGGTCTATAAATGAAAAAGACTACTCTGTACAAAACCAACTTCCCTGTCTACTGCAGATGTAAAGATTTAGTATATGATATTAGTAGTTGTGAACTTGTGATTAGTTCCTTTATGTTGTGTGCTTACTCTCGTTTTTTTCTTCATAAGCAACTTATGTATACTTTCGTTTGCTGGGGTTTGAGGAACTGAGTTTCATATGCTCCATTTTCACCTTTGGATGATTTTTTTGGCAGCATGTATCCATGGAGGAAAAGTTTTTCAAATTGGGACTTCCTGGCAAGGAATTTGAGAGATGGACTGGAATTCATCCAGAAGACCGAAAAATACTGTATCGTGGCATTTGGTTTCGGATGGCACGCAGTGGAGTTGCATCATTCGTGCTCGTGTGAAGTTACTTTTAACAATTGATCAACTATTCTCTTGATTCAAAGAGTTCGACATCTGCAGAACAGATCAAAGGTTTGTTTTCTCCTTGCATCAGATTCAATACATATGAAAATGTTATGCAAAGCATTTTTTTTTTTTTTCCTTTCTAATATTCTTTTGGGTTTTCGTTAATAAGAACTGAGAAACTTAGCTTTGGATTTAAGTCTTGTGTTTTTAATAAGCTAATTAAAAAATGAGTACCAATGGATTGAAACTTGAAAGATTACTTCTGTTTTTTTTTTTAAATAATAAAAATTTGAGTAATTCCCAACAACTTATAGGGGTGTATATATTAATTTATTTTGAATATGGGTATTTTAATTATTTTAATGATATTCCTTTTCTATTCCTTGCTCAACCAAACACAAGAATATGATTCCTCCTATAATCTCATGCTTATTCTCCTTGTGAACCAAACATTAGAATTTAGAATAGTACTTCTATTCTGTTCTTTACTTATTTCATTCCTGTTGGGATTCTTTTATATTTCTTTTATTTTTATTCTTTATACCAAACGACACGTTAGGCACGCTGATAAGAACGTAGCTTTAATGATTTAGGAAATTTTTTTTTAAAAAAATCCCTAGATATGATTACATACATGGAATTTAACCTCATTTCAACATCATAAGCAGTGGAACAAACCATACATTAGCATACAACAAGGTCAAAACAAATCACCCAAAAAGACACTAATTACACAATGGGTCCCAAAATTTGAATCTGAGGTTTTTTTTTTTGTCAATGTACAGCAAGTGGTGCCTCCATTTTGGTGAGCTCCATGACTACCCATCTTCATATTTTGATGCAATAATCATTGTACTTACAATCCAAGGGGTAGTGTTGACTTAGTTTGAGCTTCTGCTTTGACTTTTGTTGTGGATGCATGCATTATAAGCATAATTAGCTTCACTCAAAAGCTACACATTGGCCCATCAATAATCATTCATTTTTCAGTTTCTCCCAAAACAAAATCCTTATAAAACAATCATCCTACAATCCAGAATGGGAAGGTAGATAGAATTATTTAATGTCAGACAAATTCACTCCACCAGACATAATGTTGTGTGTATAATGTGTTTGACAAGTGTATTTGTGTCTGCAATGTTCTACATTCAATGCTTTCTTAAAAGGTGGAGATATATGAAAGAAGGAAGTTTGCTTTGAATTGCATTCTTGTGTACTATAGATATGAAGATTTCCTTCTAGGGGGTTTAGAGTACAATGTAATACGCACCATAATATACGACATTATCCGAAGATAAAGAAAATGAAAAAACTTGATGAACAAGTTGAGATGAGATGAGATTGGGCCAGTAGCATATGTTTGTTATGTATGCAATGATAGTGGCATTTCAATTTGATTTGATCAAATTCCCAATCCAAGCAAAACCATATCTTGATGAGGAAATCAACAACAGACATATATGGTAGGGGATGTTGCTTCCTTTGCTCACAATTTTTTTGGTTTTATTTATCTATTTATTTATTTTTTTGAGTGATGATGGAAAAAAATTCTTTGTTTAGAATGTACATAAAACTCATAACAGAATACAAATAATCTAACATAATACACAATACACACAAACTCATAACAGAATACATATAATCTAACATAATACATAATAAACAGAAACTCATAACATAATACACATAAACTCATAACAGAATACACATAAATTCTTAACAAAATTCACATAATCTAACATAATACATAATACATATAAACTCATAACAGAATACACAAACTCTTAACATAATACACATAAAATCTGAACAATAAAAACGATGTCGTTTGGGTCAGGGCGCACAATGCACAATGCACATTGTGCGCCCTGGTGCACGATATAACGATTGCACAACCACTACCTGGGCAATTTATATCATGGACCAGGTCCATAGTGCACTGTGGTATAGAATTTGACTTTATAAAGTACAAACTTCATGTTCATAAATCATAATGCACATAATTATATAGCTGAGGACACATAAACACTTAACATAATACACAGAATCAACATAATGCACATAATTCATGTTTATTATATTGTGTTTATGTGTATGTGTATTATGAACATGAATTCTGTGCATTATGAACATGAATTTTGTATATTATGAGGTCAAATTCTGTGTATTAGACCAGGATCCAAGATCCACAGTGCGTCACAAGGCGGGTTTAGCCAAAGCACACTCTCAGGTCGTGCAATCGTTATATCGTGGACCAAGATCCAAAGTGCACTGTGGATCTTGGTCCACGATATAACGATTGCACGACCTGAGAGTGTGCTTTGGCTAAACCCGCCTTGTGACGTAGCTGGCAAAGGATCACAAAGATGTAAATAATACTAGGTTTTTCATAATTGACTGGCTCAAGCCAGGAACACCAATAGGTCACTCTCATTGGGAGCGAACTTGTAATCTTGTGATTACCAAACTAACAACCTGATGCGGACTAACTTGGCTAGAGTTACTCCCAATTATTTTTGTTTTAAAGTGTAGTATACTTAGACATGCACGTACCCCTACCCCTCCCCCACTCCCTCTCCTCATTTGCACGTGTCATTGTGTGCAAATGCAGTCTTGTATTGTATGGGTGAGATGATTACCATCCTAATGCTTACTAGCTAATTAAGCAACTAAAAGTAGTGTTCTATTATCTGACAAAAAAAGTTGTTAAACCATTCAAGAAAACACACCATGATAATGACAAGTACACATTTGTCAAAATCGTACGTAAGCGATATTAGTTGTGATGATTTATACAGTTTCGTCATAAAACTAATACGTACATATACACCGATTTGTTTGTACCTATCAAGATAACTTTTATGTAATCCAAAAAAAGAACATAAAAATGACTTTTGAAAAGCGGAATGCTTAATTCAAAAGAAAATGAATAGAGGAGCAAGATTGCTGTCTGTAAATTCCTTGCAAGATACTATTTTATAATCTTGTTCTTATTAAGACATGATGCTGTAAAATCAATATGAAAACGATGTGGGTGTCAAATATTGTCAAAAAGGCTTGCTTTATTTTATGATCCCACTTTAAATTTTAACCACAAAATCCTTTGAATTTTATTGCACTTTTGGGAGGTGGATCCTAATTACTATTACCATTTGAATTCAAATATGCTTTTCTGAGTCGCTAATTACTCTTATCATGTGATGGGGCATGGGTTTGTAAGATGTTGATGAAACATTGCTGCCCTAATTTTGCACTTTTGATATCTTTTTACTTTTTAGTCTTGTTTGTTCTCCACGAATTTTGGTTCTTAAGGTTATCACCGAATTCACACTGCACAAAAGCATTGTATTATTGCTCCAAACGGGGTGACCAAGTGGGTGGAGTATGATTTGTGTATCTGAAGATTATGAATATGATTATTGTTAATACTATCTTAGTTGAACTTGCACAAGATTTTCTTAATATGATTTACTTCCCTATGTGGAGAAGTGAATTTGACCTAGTGTACACCTTTAGATAGTGATTGTAATTTCCCTAATTACTAAAAAAAGAAAAATATTGTAATGTAAAACTCAAAAAAGTTACAATCTAATCCTACCCTACAAATTTCACAATTTTTAAGGATGATCATCTCTCAAGCACAAAATCTATTCCCCCATTTTACTTACCCGACTTAGAATATAATCACCTTGATTTGGTTGATCAATAGTGCCTTGTCTCACTTTTTTACAACATTTATGATACTAAGTAAAAATGTATGCATAATCCTAGCTAATCCCATTCTCCATATACTAGATATAATATTTTATACCTAGTGTGTCCATGTTGATTTTTTCTATCGCGCCCATCAACATTGATATCGATAATACATACAATTATGTATAGTACTAGATATAATATTTTATACCTATTGTGTCAATGTTGGATTTTTCTATCGGCGCCGATCAACATTGATATTGATATGATAATACATACAATTATGTATAGTATTTTTTAAAAAAAAATTATATCGTGTGTTATTAATACCTATGTGTTGATACTATTCGGTACTCAAAAAATGCATATATCAAAAGGCTTGTGAGGTGTAATAAATATAAGGATGCATCAAGAGGCTTGTGGTGCTTACATCAGAAGTGATTCAATGCTTCTCTAAGCAGCCACCTTTTTTTAAAAAAAAATTGAAATATAAAATAATTGTTCCTTGGCTTCGAGATACAAGACAACTACTACACAACCATCATTCTACAGAAAGATAAAAAGGCTACTCTGATACCATTATATTACTTCCTAGTAGCAGCAGTGGCAGGGAGGAGAGTATGCAGAAGAAAAAGAAAATGATTGAAATAATGCTTAATCAACCATCTTAATTTTGAATATATATATATATATATATATATATATATATATATATATATATATATATATATATATATATATATATAAATTGATTAAATTCTATAAAAAATTCTATAATGTGGATTAACATTAGTAACAGCAATGCATAATTATACTGGCTACTATTAATCATATATACTTGATATATGTATACTTTGATTTATGAGAAAGCCCTTAATCGTTACGTGAATTTGTGTACCCGAATGTGCACTCTTGGTGAAATTTGTCTGCCTTGACAAATGACTATAATGAGATAAACCAATCTAGATTATTTATAATTGATCGTTTCAAAAAAAAAAAAAAACAGATAATCAAATTTGAAACCTTGTTATTATCAAGTTAACTATATGCAATTAATTTGGTAAGAAGCTGCCCTATAGTTATGATCGGTGCTGATTAACACTAAAAAAATTCTCATAAATTGATGAAAGATGATTAAGAGTTATGACATTAATTAAGAGATTTAATGAGGACAATGATCGGTTCACGTGAGAATCTCCAACAACAACTCAAGCAAGCATGAGGAATAGGGCCATCAAGATCACACCAGTTTGAAGCAACAGTGGGGTACCCATTAGCTAGATTTTGATTCATTCATCTTAATTAGATTCCACGTGGCATACATTTCACAATGCTACATAGACATTCCATCCATCTCATTACTACTGCCCACATATTCTTTCTTTAATTTCAATTCTTTCTTGTAGGAGTAAATTATTTGAATAAAGTTTTGTTACAGTGTTCGTCAGAGTCGAAAATGTGACGTTTGACACTTCATTTAGATTTTTTTTTTCTCATATTCTATTAAATACTGCTTACTGAACCAGTGAGCTAAATTTGTACAGACAAATTTTGATTTTCTCAATAAGAGAAGGACATGCTAATGCATCTCATTTTATAAACTCGGGTCAAAATATAAAATTTTGGGTTAAATCTGTATTCATATATAAACCAGCTTGTGTAACGTAGTTATATTAGGGTTTAAATTTGTATTTTAAGTCACATCGATAGAGATTGAGGCAGGATGTGCCCCAAGTCCCCAACATTGATATGTGGTTAGAGTCTAAATTCATATTGGATGGTGCAACTCCACATTCGTGTGTGTGGGGGATAATGTGTAGTTAGGGTTTGATTAAGACAGGGGTGTGTGGGGGGAGGGGGGGTGATGCGTACCCATATTTGTGTGTTGTTAGAGTCAAATTGAGACCGGCTTGGATGATAGTGCGTCTTACATCAGCTATTGTGAAACTAACCGTTACTATGAAAATAATGCATCTCACGTCGATCAATAATCAATTTAAAGTATTTGCATTGAATTTTTTTTTTCTTAAGTTTTTTGTAATTTAACGTGACTTGGTAATTAGCTGACTAGAATCACAAAACTATAAAATGATAGGAGTATAACATTTGGTATAAAACAAGTTAGTGCAAATATATAACATTTCCCTCAAGTCATATTACTCATATATGTGGAAATAATTGAAGTGATATAATTTGTTACATCAACTTTTGCCACCTACGAAAACAAAAAACAATTGACATATATAATATAGTTTGGAAGATGAGAGAACTACATAATGAAAAACAAAGAGAATTAACTAGCCAATAATATATATAGAATATAATGTGAATCAACTAGACCCTAATTATGCTTATAATTGGATCTAATTAATTAATTAATATATTAATGTGGAAGACTAATCTCATCAAGATCATCTAGCGAGAGGAAGACTTCATCCAAGCACGAAAGCTCATTCCCATCGTCGCCATCATCATCGCAGTTGCCATCATACACTCGACAAATTACCCATTTACTATAATCCTGAAAAAAATAAAAATGTAAATACAAATTAAATTGTGAATAATTCAACTCTTTTACATGCATATATTTTTAAAAAGAATTGCGCCCTAATTTAGTTACCCTCTAACGTTATTCATACTTTAAGAGATTCCCACTTTAATCTCATGACCTTCCATGAAAGCCTAATCCAGACTTTGGTTTTTCCCCGTTCCTACCATATAGTCGATGCAACTTAGCAAGCTACAAATACCCATAATTCAGTGATCCCAATAGCCTATTCTTTAGTAGGCTAAGGGCACTTATAATTTTGCCACCCTCAATCACACCTACTATAAAATTGATTCCTTAATAAGCTATAAGTGCCTATAATCCCGCGACCCCATCGCCCTTACCATTGAGCCAATGCCTTGGGGGGCTACAAGTGCCCATATGAAGGGCAATTTGGACATTACTAGTGAAATTAAACGTTTATTTGAGTGTATCCAGAGTTTCAACTATCGACAGTTTCAACTATCGACAGTGACTAATTCCCTCGCTGAATTGTAGGCACCTCAATTGGGTGGGTGGACTGACGTGGAGATTTAAGACTGCTCCATACTCAAAAGCAAGAATCCAACCCTTTGACCTTTGATTAAGGATAAATAAGTCTCTTATACTCGACCACACTCCAGTTTCTAGTGAAATTAAAGTTATGTTGAGGATTTTTTCTGAAATTACAAAATATATACATATACTTGCATTCTTGGAGTGGGTTCTTCTTCTTGAAGAAGAGGATTTAGCAGAGCTAGTTGAAGCAGAGGCAGAATCTGAGAGCCTGTATTCTTGCATGACCCAACTGGTCTTGTCACCCTGCGGCGGCTCGCCGATATAGAAAGCATAGTACCGCTTAACCCCCACCCGGTGGCTGCCGGAGCTCGAAAAAATGGGCTCGTCGCCGCCGCCCAACGCCTTCCAATACCCATTGCTCGTAATCCTGCTCGCCGTCCTCCGGCTGTAGAAATACCATTTATTCCCTTCCCCCATCGCTCTCCCTGAATCCATGCACCAAATAACACCACAAATTAGTTAAAATAAAAAGAAATCCTCAATAGTAACTGCGAGTTTCAATTCTCGTCATCCAAAAACAGAAATCTTAGTATAGTAACTATGGATTTTCCTCATAATACAGAAAAAGAGAATCTGCAGAAAGAATTGAAGGAGAAAAAAGTAATTACCTTCCAAGTCCCATGGATCGTAAGGGTAGAGATCGAGATCGGGGATGACGTCAGGGTGGCAGGGCAAAAGCGCCGCCTTTCGATGGAGGAAATGTACGACCAGCTCTTCATCTGTGGGGTAGAATCGGAACCCAGGTGGCAAGTTTACACTGTTCTCACCCATCGCTAGCTATATCAACAACAACAACAGTATGTATATATATGCTGTATATATATATATATGTGTGTGTGTGGGTAGGGGGTGGGGGGTGTATGTAACTATGTATATATAGTGATGGAATTGAGGAAGACAGACAATATGGGAGATGATGAGAGAGGGATATTTATAGGGAGAGAAGAGAGGTGGAGATTGACGTGAGATGGAAGGTGCATATAGATCATCATCATCATCAACAACATATGTTCATCATCGCATCATATACATATGCATATATATCTATATTCATTGCTACGGTTCAACCATATAATACAATGCACTACATCACTAGCCTCTGTTATGTATTAATTGATATGATATAAAGTTCAGAGAATTTGTAAGGGTAACAAATTTTTATTTTTATTTTGGCAATACTGACTCTGTTACAATGTAGTATCTGCTCATAACTACTTTCTCAACCTACTGAAAGCATAAAAAGTCAATACTGTCTCCATAATTTTTATTTAGGAGAATCACTTCGTGTCACTAGACTATAAGATCATTGACATATCTTTTATATTTAGGTAAAAATGACATAATTAGGGATGAAATTAAACAAATTTTGAAATCGGTGATTATACTTAGTGAAATCCTAATAGTCTAAAGAGCAAATTGGGTGAATTGGGTGTTAACTCATGAACATATGATGCATACCTGAATAAGTGATAAATTGATTTAAGTAATAGGAGTAGTAAAGTGATGGGGTAGGGTACGGCGGCGGGTGTTAGTGTTTTAGTACGGAGTGTATAAAAATAAAACCAAACCGGATCTACGTTATACTTCCACGTAACGGTACTTGATTCCATTGGTCAGATACTCATACTATACTTTTATGCATAGTTGCATACGTATACTACACACCTACCTACACTATACGGATTCTACTTATACGTATAAATTACACCCTAGTTTTTCCACTATTTTTTTTTGGTACAAGGAAAACCTACAGCCACATTAGATAATTCATGTGTTGTGATCTTAATCGGTAAAAGATTACAAAAAAATAAATCAATCTAGATTGCTCATAATTGATCAGCTCAAACCAAGAAAGTTGATCAATAGGCCGCTCTTACTGAGAGTCAAACTTTTTTCACTACTATTATTTATTTATAATAATATATTAATATGCATAGACGGTAAGAGTAGTGAAATACTGTCAGAAATAATTTAATTTCAATAGTTAAAGTTTTAACTTAATAACTTTAAAAATCTAGCCATGATGTTAAAAAAAAAAAAAAAATCTTGTATATATCCTTCTAAAGACACATCATTAGGGATGACAATGTGCCCCGTCCGCGTTGGGGATCCCCGCCCTCGTTGAGGACGGGGACGGGGACGGGAAAAAATTCGGGGAACGGGGACGGGGATGAGGAGTTTGTGAAATTCCCCGGCGGGGACGGGGATACCCCTCCCCGCCCCGCCCCGTCCCCGAATAATATATATATATAGTTTTAGGAATTAGAAATTAGAAATTATATATAGATTATTAGAATTTCTTTTTGTCTATGGCTAATACAGTGTACTGTTGATTTAAACATAATTAGTTAATTACATAAAGAGTTAATACCCAAAATCGTCCTCGACTATAGTGGTTTTTCTCAATTTTGTCCTAAACGACTTTGGTGACCTAATATCGTCCCAGACTTTTGTATTTCGCTCAATTTAGTCCCAGACTTTTGTATTTTTGCTCAATTTAGTCCCTCATTTGTTATTCTGTCCATTTGATGTTAAATAAATAGACAATTCCATAATTTTAATATTGGCATCTCTTTACTCATAGACATGTGAATTGCGATTTTTTTTTTTTTTTTTTTTTTTTACGAATTACTCCCAGAATTACTCCTAAAAACTGCGAATATAAAATTTGATTTGCATGTCCGGGAGTAATTCTGGGTGTAATTCGTACAAGAAAGATGAATTTCGCACTTCACAAGTTGAAAGTAAAGAGAGATCAATATTGACATTACTGAATTGTCCCTTTATTTAACACCAATTTGACGGAATAACAAATGGAGGACTAAATTGAGCGAAACACAAAAGTCTGGAACGATATTAGGTCACCAAAGTCGTTTAGGACGAAATTGAGAAAAACCACTATAGTCGAGGACGATTTTGGGTATTAACTCATTACATAAAACACTGTTGTATACTGTGTATATTGAATATTACATAGAATATAATGTATGTAATTAAACATAATTGTATAAAGCATTGTATATTTGTGTACTGTGTATATATATTGAATATATAGAATATATGTATTTAAATTCTGAACATAATTACATAAGCATTGCTATACTAATACTGTGTATATATTCAAATATATTATATATTATTGAATATTGAATGTTGAATTTTTCTTTAATAGAATTCTTTTTTTTTTTTAAATTGTACTATGGGTTGATCGGGGATGAGGATTTCCCGTCCCCACCAAATTTCCCGTGGGGACAGGGAATTTTTTCAAATCCCCGCCGGGGACGGGGACGGGGAGTATACTCCCCGCCCCCGCCCCGTTGTCATCCCTAATATCACTTACTCGAGGGTCCTTGATTGTTCCTATCTTATAAGTTAGGACTGATGAAGGAGATAAATCACAGGAGTTGTCTCAATTCATCCAAGGCCAAATTTGTATCTCCATTTGAGATCATCGGTAAGATTCGAACTCCACACCTTATAGTTGCTAAGAAAACTAAGTTTATGAATTTTTTTGACTGGAGTACTAAACAATTAATGACAACACAATTAAGTGCGTTTAATTTACTAATTAGAAAAACTTTATATTTTTGGAAGAATTCTTTTTTTTTTTTAAATAAAGAATTAAAATCAGGAAATTTGAATATTTGTATAATTTGAAAATAAAGAATGAGAATTAAAATTTTGAAAAAATGAAAAAATTGAGAAATAAAATAAAAACAATCTATATATAGGTTGGGAGTTGGAAGAAATGAAGAATAAGGTTGAGGGATGTGGGGGGCATCGTTAGCACACTTCATGCTTATATCATCTCCCCCATCCTCGTGCCATCCACGTATAGGCTATATATAAATATATGCCCATTAACACAATTATTATTATCACATGATAAAACTAATAAAGCAAGCTATATATATAATTACTGCCCCATTTTATATTTATATATTGTATTTGTGAGATGGGTGTTGAATTGGAGGTGGAAAACTAAAGTAAATTTCATCAATAATGCAATTCTTTGATTTCAGTTCTTTTATTAAGTCATTCATTTTGAATAGTTACGTCTATTTGATCAAATTTTATCCAAAATTAATTATTTGTAGCTATGGTGTATGCTTATCTTATTATAAACTCAATATGAATCAGGACATTTCTTTTGTGTCCTCTGTTATATTTCAAATTTTTTTTTTTGAAAGGACTAACTAATTGTGATTAGTGAACTGATTAAAGTGTAATTTGATTGCATCTACTCTAGTCAATCATTTGCTTCGCTAATTGCAATTTGAAACATACCAATAGTATGCTGCAGGCCGATGGTTACTAATTTGGCAAATTATGTTGTGCAATCGTGTGCACCATGCATGGTGCACAATATTCCATAATTTCTATATTATAGATCCATAATTTTATACTATAGATTCATAATTTTTATACTATAAATTCATAATTTTATACTATAAATTCATAATTATTGAACTCTATATTCACAATTACAAAATTCTATGTTCATAATTTCTATACTATAGATTCATAATTGCTAGCTATACAATAGATTCATAATTTCTAAACTGTATAGTTATCAAATTATGAACATACTGCACACGAAATTGGATCCATAATTTCTATACTATAGATCCATAATTATTGAACTCCATATTCACAATTACAAAACTCTATGTACATAATTTTCAATGTTCATATTCCCAATTGTTGAACTCTGTATTCACAAATCGCTGAACTATATGTTCATAATTTGATAACTATACAGTTTAGAAATTATGAATCTACAGTATAAAAATTATGAATTTATAGTATAGAAATTATGAATCTATAGTATAAAAATTATGGATCTATAGTATAAAAATTATGAATCGAATTCCGTATGCACCTTGCATGGTGCACACGGTTGCACAGCATAATGCTCCGTTATTATTTTGAATATATGTCTTGGTCTTGGTTAAGAAATAAAATGAAAAGAAAAGTAATTATATCATCACTATTTTTTAATTGAATAAAACTATATGGACTTATATTTTCTATTCTAGTTTTCATCCCTATTTTGCAGAAAAAATACTACAATTATTATTCATTCATTTTTCTTAACGTAATAAAATAGGAAAACACAATGAAAGTTATAATTTTTAAGAGTATCCGGTATCTTGTTATTGAGAGCATTATGATTTTGTTGGTAAGACTTGGCAGTATATTGCAGCAACAGGTACAACTAAATTGGGGCTATATATAAGTCCATGACTAGCACCATCAAACATTACTGGTACGAAAACAAATATAATGCTTCTTACCGGAAAGGCTAGGAATGCTCTTTCCTCATATATGACAAGAAATTGATAGTCCATCATTCCAAAGACTAAAGGACATCATTCCAATGGTGTGCACTCCACAGTCATTCTAGATCCAGGAAATGGAGTTGAATTGACAGGACTCTTAGAGGGCGTATAGGAGATGTGAAGTGTGAACAAGTGATGACCCTATAATGTTGTCACTTCTCTCTTTTCTTTTCTGTTTTTCTTTTGTTTCCCCAACCATCAAGTATATATTTGAGTGTATGGCCACTTTGTATGTGGATAAAGGAGGGTCCATGCGCTGAAAGAGGTGGCTAACTTAATTCTCGTACTAAAAGGTCACAAAGTTAATTTTGACTAATACCTTACCTTTTCGGTCAAATCTATCACACAAGGTCTTTCTAGTGCACTTTACATCTCTTATATGGTTTGAAAGTGTTTACCCTAATGGCTTAGTGGATGCCGGCTTCCATCGTCATCCAAAAGAAAAAAGAGGGCCACTTCTCCCCTCTTAGTGACAAGAAACCAACTCCATATATGCATCTTTATCTCCTAAAGTTTCATTATTTCAGCTCGATCATTCATCACTTTTTGCCTAACTATTTGGTAATGACGTAGCTTTGCAGTCTTAATAAAGCAATACTAGTCCAATAATAGAATTAGCAGCATGGATTAGTTCACACGATTTCAATAAAACAATACAATCAAAGAAGCAAGTTGATATGACATGTATCAAGCATCCGTTCAAACACATAAATCATTCCAATTATTCTCTAATGCCAAATGCCTTTAGGCAGGCATATGAGTTTGTTTAAAGTTTTCAAAGAATTAGTGCAAACAACCATGGGGTTTTCAGAGCATCAAGGATTACTGCTATTTGAAGTGAAGCAAGAAGCAAGAAATGGAAATTCCACTATAAGGCATGAGTTTCTGGTTGTATATCATATCAATCAAAAACCTATTTTTTGACAGTAGTCTAGTAGTACTAGTACATGTTTTCCAATTAACCACAACGAATCAACAATACGCATACATACACTACACATTCACTTGGTGTATTTGTATAGCTGCTTTGATCAATAGAATGTTTTATGTTCTTGATCAAAACAAAAACAGAATGACAGATATTCACAGGTTACCTGTCAAGAATATGAATCCTCACTTTCTTTGGTCTATGCTGTGGTGCTTTCAGCTTGTTAGCAGCCACTTGAATGTTAATTGGAAAAGCAGAGATGTTCATGGATTACCCATAGGAGAAGGGTAGATCTCTTTACTTGCTCTTGGGCTCGGGCTTAGGCTTAGGCTTAGGCTTGGGCTTGGACTCGGACTCGGGCTCGGAGCAAATATCGCTGAAAATAGGCAATCTTTTCCTCGCAGAAGGTCCATAGAGAACTCTCTGAATATGAGAATAAACATCTCCCTCAGGAGCTTTTCCAGGCAAGGGAGTCTCAATACCATCATCCTGTGGAGACCAGTCAGTATTTCCAGAAGCCGAGGAAGTAGAAGCAGTTGCGGAGGTGCTGCTGTTGCCTGCACTGGGTGGATCTTTGACTACAGTTGGTGTTGTAACAGGAACTGCCACTTCAGCTCTAGGTGCTGGGGATTGAACTGCTGGATTCGGCTGGCCAGGATGATAATATCGACACATGGCGCCATATGCACATGATCCCGTAGTGTAGACTGACCTGCAGATCTGTCATTGTAATACAGATAAATAGGATAAGTGATTCTGGTTTCTTGAAATTGTGAACAATTGCAGAATTGATAGGATTCAGTATTGGGAATACCTGAGATTTGTAATTCCTGGGGACTTGAGGACGCACCCGAGGATGCAACTCTTCAAATCCGTGTGCAAACTGTTGAATTTCACATTTCAGAAAAACAATTCAATATCAGGACTTTTAAGAGACTCTTCTGGATTTCAAGTTGACAAAATTCAAAGATTAGCGAGTGAGGTATATTTAAATATGATCTAATACTGAAAAACAATTGCGTGAATATGCTAAAAGTCTTCGGACTTGGGATCAAACTCTCAAGAAGAAAGCCAAGAAACGAACCTGGCAAGTTCGACCAAATTTGCAAAAACAATATAGATGCCAGAACCGACACAGATCCTTCTTGTAGCCCTGGACGGAATCTGATGACCCGGTCCCTCTCGATCTTGAACTGCCGCTGCCGCTGCCGCTACCGCCCTTTGGATTAACGGGAAAGCCGTCCATGACAATCACGTCCTCCTCAACTTTCACCGGAGTCTTGAACACCGTAACTGGAGACCCCAACGGTTGCGTCAGTAGGTTCTCAATCGAAGACAGAGGCGAACCGAACCCTCCTCTGGTGCCGCTGCTTCTGCTTCCGCCTCCGTCAAACGGAACAGACGAGCCGGATCGCAGGCGTTGGACCAAGGGAGACGGCGGATTTGGCGTATTGAAATTTTCAGACAACTCGTAGGGATCGAAAACTGGACTCAGCGGTACCGGAGTGTGAAATCGGTTGTGGATTGGTACCGCATTGCCGTCTAAAAGCTTGAACGTCGGAGTTTTTGGATTATTATAGTTGCCGCGCAAATTTTCCATGAATTTTTTTTTTTTTTTTTTTTTTCCTGCAATCGCAACGGCATAACCGAAAATAATATCAAAATTATGACAGATCCTAACTGCAATCCAGCAACCTTCATAGCAACATTAAACTATTATAGTGCTCTCACTCTCAGTCTATACTTTTCTGACTCTGAACTCCCACCTTTTCATATCTTATGCTATCTAAATTTAATGCGAAACTCAAAGACTATACAAAAATAACAGAATTTACGAGGAAAAAGAACAAAATAAAAGTCCTTCAAAACTCAATCAGCAGAAATTCACAAGATTTTGAATGTAGTTGCTATGTCCATGCACAAACACACATGCATATACACACACACTATATAAGCGCGCGGTTTTCAGAATTTGAAATTAAGAGCGATCATTTAACAAAACCACTAAGAAATCAAAGAATTGAAATCAAATTCAAGTCGAACAGGTTGAAGCTTAGAGCGATGTTACCAATCGCGAACTTGAATTTGCAGAATCAAAATCTGTAACCTGCAGAGACACAACCGAGCTAAAATTCAGAACTTCGAGAAGACGAAGCAGCATCAGTGACAGTTTGATGGAGGATTGAAGCTCATACGTAAGAGATTCCAGAAATGTATAATGACTAGTGACTACCTTATTAGGGTTCAGCCATTGTCCGCACAAGAACAGAAAGTACAGTGAGAACCTGAGATATTTATAATTGTCACCCTTACCGGAGGAAATTTACCGGGAAGCTTTAAAAGCCATGGGAAATGTCAATTTAGCCCTTAAAGTTGTACTTATAGAAAACACATAATCCACCCTAGAAGGTTAGTCAAGTGGGGCGAAACATAATTATTATACTCAAAGGTCATGAGTTCAATTCTGACAAACAAAAAAGTTGAGTTTACTCGTGTAATCACCACAAAAGGGATAGCTAAGTGAATACAACATGATCATGGTTAAAAAAATCGCTAAACACTCTCGGGAGCTCGGAAGGCACCTAGCGCCTAGGCGGTTTGTGTATTTTTTTTATTTTATTTTTTAAAAATTTTTAAAAACATCTAGAGTTTGAACAATTTAAAATTATTTCGTTCAAAACGACCGTTTTGAGTTAAATAACACATTTAAAATAAAATTTAAAAAAAAAACAAAAAAAAAAAAAACAATAGCTAATCGGTTAACTAGGCGGCCTAATCAGCTTAGGCGGTTAGCGCCTAGTCAGCTTAGGCGGTTAGCGCCTGTCGGCCAGCCACCTAGACCATCGGTTATGGTGACCGGCCAGCGCCTAGTGCCTAGGCATCGATTAATTGGTGTCTAGGCAGGATTTTTGCAACACTGTGTTGATTATTGTACTTAAAGGTCACAGTTCGATTCTTGCCAACACAGAAGCAGAATGTACCTCACGCACGCCCTCGATCGAGTAGTGATTGTGGATTTTTCGGGTAAAAAAAAAAAAAAAAAAAAAAAAACAGAATCTCAGAAAGATTTTCATCTATATCGACTCTATAAATACATAACCTTCAATTTATTACATACATTGGCATTATTTGGGAATACTGAACAACAACAAATACATTTTGACAAGATGACAGTTACCACAAACACATGCATACAGCTGCAAATTTGAGGAATGAAATTTGCAGGAGTTTCCAGCACAGATCAGAAGACAGAATGTCTGCTAAAACAACAACAACAACAACAAAAGTGAACAACTTTAAACAATTGCGTTCTTCAGGTTGCCACCGAGCAACGACAGAAGGCCCCCGCCATGGACTCTTCCCTCGGGAATTGCAAATTCGAAGCTCTTGCTAGCGTCGCTATTCCCACCACCAATTGCAGAGGTTCTCTCTGGCCTCTCTGAATTTCTTGGGCCCGAGCAGGATGCTGAGGCCTTCATTGACAGAGGAACCAGTACCTGAGGAGGAATGAGTTGTCGTCGTTTGGAGGAGTTGGCTGAGTCTGAGGTTGCGCTGACAATGGAGGAAGAATGGTTGTTCTCGAAACTGGTTATTACGGTGGAGGTTGATGGAACGAGTCCCCGGAAAAGCCCTGGCCCGATCAAGCTTCCTTTGTTCGTCTCCATTCCTTGAGCCAAGCTGCTGTGAGCAGCACAGAGGCCGCCTCTCCCCCTCGCAAATTTCTCGCATTTCCCTTCTCCTCCCCAGATGCAACGCTTTCCCCCTCCGTGAGCCTTGCAGAAGTCCGTGCTACCTTGGGCGCTCTTTTCACACTTCTCGACCTTGCAACGCTTTCCTCCCCCGTGTCTAACACAGCAATCGGTGCGCCCCCGAGCACTCTTGGTGCAGCCTTGAATAGCACATCTCTTTCCACCGCCATGAGCAACGCAGAAATTCGTGCCCCCGTGTACACTTTTAGGACATATCCCGCCACCGTCGAAAAGGCACCGTTTTCCCCCACCGTGAGCCTTGCAGAGAGGCGTGCTCCCCTCGGCGCCTTTCGTGCATCCCGCAAACACGCATCTCTTCCCACCGCCATGGCCTTTGCAGTACATTGTGCTTCCTTGGGCGCCCTTGGAACAACCGGGGTATTGGCAACGACGCCCACCGCCATGAGAGATACACAACCCGACCTGCCCCTCCGCACTACGAGTGCATCCTTCCACCCTACACCTCTTCCCTCCACCGTGCTTGATGCAAAGCCCCGACTTTCCCCGCGCTGCCTTCGTGCACCCTCCCGGGTAGCCACATCGTCGCCCTCCACCGTGAGCAATGCAGTGGTCGGTCTTCCCTTCAGCGCTTTTAGTGCACCCGAGATACTCACACCTCTTTCCTCCACCATGGGCCTTACAGTACGCTGTCCTGCTCTCAGCGCCTTTGTTGCACCCGAGTTTCTGACATCTCTGCCCTCCTCCGTGGCCAATACAAAGACCCGTAGCCCCTCGAGCACCTTTCGTACAGCCTGTAAACTTGCATCTCTTAGGATTGCTCGCCCTGCGATCTGAGGATGTCACGGTTCCTACTGGCTCAGAGATCGTGCTCCTCGAGTAATCAGAGATAGCAGACGGTTCAGAGCTCATCTGAGGTAGATGGCAATGCGATTTAGCACCCAGCTCGAGCAATTTTCTTGACTGCATTATTGAAACTTCACTGTTCTCCATCCTCGGTGCCAAAAGAAGCGATGGCATATACCCACCCGATTTCTTGGCTGACGTTGAACCTTCATCAACAACTGGAACAGAAAGCCTACTACCATCTGAAGACAATTGATCGGAATAATGATTCGAGACAGAAAATTCAATCACATTAGAAGCATCATCAATGCTTCCCGAGAGGCCGAGCTTGAGGATAGAATCATGTTCAGATGTCAGGTCCTGATTTAAAAGCGCTGTGAAGCCTTTGTCTTTGTTGCCACCAACAGAATAATAATCATCACCGGGAAAACTAGGCGTGGGGCCCAGACCAAGCACCAACCCGCAACCATCATCAACAGTATTATTCATCTGCACGATCCTTTTTGCTTTGCTGTTGGCTCCGCAGCTCTCACTTCCTCGATAACCAAAGCAATCCAATCGTAAAGTTGTATCACCAAAATTATTAGACCTTACTAGCTCACCGTTTGAAATAAGAAGCATATTGTTACTATTATTACAATCCATCATGGCTGTTCGATATCACACAAAGGGAGAAATGGAAATTTGATAAAAGAATGCTAGAGTACTAATAGAATGATCCATAAATCAGAATAAAGTAAGCAAGCAAGATAAGTCCTAATGAGCTACCTCCCCCGCTCACAAAACCTGATGTGTCGGCCCTATCCATTTACTTAAATGTTGGGTAAAACCCTTTATAGAAACTCTAGTGTTATAATTAACACCGACAAGGTTTTTGGTGGAATTTCGATCATGTGAGCTACCAAATAGGATACCCAACTTAGCTGGAACCAAACGAGATTCGGTCAATGAATACGAGCAATTTATATCTGTCGCTGGAAGCTCTTAATTCATCAACCTGACAAAACAAATGAGCTGATGTCATAATTTTGTAATTGCAGATTTGCAGGTAAACCTAAAAGCCGGAATTTTTTTAGCTTAAGTTACAAATTGCTATCACATACTTCAGCAATGTCACATCCACAATGTAAACAAGGATTAAAAATGATTAAAACAAAGGGGAAATAACACAAGCCGGATATTTAAAACACAAATGGAAAATAACATGAACCAGATACTCAAGACACGGGAGGTCCAGAACAACTCTTAACTGAACATTTCGTGGACAAATTTTGACATCAGTAAATCAAAGATGTAGTGAGTGAAGACTCTTTTTCCACAATTATGTAGAAAGAGCATCAAACACAATTTCTTTACCACAAAGGGGGCGTAAAAGACGTGTTCTTTGTGGAACAAAATCCACTGGTTTATAATCTCCAGCAAAATTGCACACAACATCAGATCCCTTATTTCCTTATTATAGAAACACCCACGAAAAGACACAATTATTCGGTTGTTTCTATGCAGCAAGCTTTCTAAGCAAATTGGATTTTCAATATTTTCACCAAAAAATAAAATAAAAATAAACTGAAGCAGGCAAGCAGCAGGTAATTACTTATCGAAAACTATGGACACCAAATCAAAAGCCTTAAAGTCAAGGAAACGTAAGGAATTTGTTTCAGCACTGATTTTTCGCCTTTTTTTGTAAAATCCATCATGACCATTTAATTGTGGAAATGCTCCATAACAAATATGCTTCATATAGTGTATCTGTTTGGAAATGAATTACTTTAAACATACTCTAATAACTCAACTCCTTATCTATCAAACATGAAAACTATACTTCAACTCAACTAATTTACTGGTAGGGCTAAACCATAAGGGCAAAAACACCACTAAATCATGAGATCTACACATAATTCAACCAGAAACAACAAACTGAAAAAACAGACACTTCCAGCAAAGTTTGTCAAAGCTATATTTCATTCAACTGCAAAGGAGAAATCTGCTTCAATACCAACTACTCCACTTTAACAGAGATTCTCATACTAGTGACAGTACAGATAAGCAAATAACAGGTGGTTATATAAAGAAATAGCAAAATTACAAAGGAGCAATACGTCAACAAAGCTCAAGAAAACTCAAATTAAGAAAAAAAAATCGTATTTTTAAGCATATAGTACTGAATCATGAGCTCCCCATGAACCAAGATTCAGGAAAACCAGCAAAAATCAAGACAGGAAAAAGTGCAGGGTAGTAAATTGCATTAAATCTCGAAAACCCATTAAATCTACTACCGAATTCAGGATCTTTCTATCATTAGTATTCATTAGGAGCTAAAGGGAACAAAGAAATTACCCTTTTGAGGAAATTCCCATTAGGGAAAAGCTGAGAAAACCATGAAAGCTATTGAAGCCACCCAATTGCGGTAATCTAGAAAGAGAAACGGGAGAGAAGGAAGAGAGAGAGACGAGCAGACAGAGAAAAGGAGGAGAGAATAACACTTGGCCGTAGCGTCATAATAAATAGAGAAAAAATAAAATAAAATGATTCGAGCGCCCCTAAATTAACTGATTACCGGAACAGCCCGCGGCGGTTCATTCGGGGTGAAATTACTGTTCAGCCCTCAGACGTCAGCAACCGAACAACAGTTTTCGATGGACGGTTTTACGCATTCCCGACCCTCCGATCTGGACGTCGCATACTTTTTGGCGACAGCGATGTTTGCCCCGTTTTGCCCCGAGTTTTATGTGTGCCGAACGGGGGAAAACGTGGGCAAAGATGTAATTTCGGGTGACATCAGCTGGGACAGGAGAAGTTGTGGTGGATGTGCAATTGTCGTGGCGCGCCCTCCTCATTTTAACCGAACATTTTTTGAGACCTAACGTTATAAAAAAAATCTAAAAAGCAGCCTCTGCAAATGAGCTGGCGCAGTACGGCTTCGATTCCTCTCTTGCGGCTCCGCTATTGTTTCACCAAAAATTATTTTCGCACCTAATCCCTTTTATATATATTTAAGGGATATATAAGGGATTAGGTGCGAAAACTATTGCAGGTGAAACATGCGAATTAATCATAGTTATTAATTTTGTCAAATTCAGCAACTTAAAATGAAAGTAAATTTAAAAAATGTGATGACAATATGATAATTTTACGTATTGCTAAAAGCTTAAGATGCGTTATTTTAATACTTATGACCCGTTTGGTTCACGGAATAGGTCGGGAATGACATAGCATTCCCAGTAATAGGCATATTTTTTTGTTTGGTAACCATTTATATTACCATGAATAATATTTATGGTAATAGCCTATTACCTCAAATAAGGTAATAGCTATTACTAGGGCCCTGGTATTAGCCTATTAATGAACGCTCAGAAATAGATTTTAGAATCTATTTTCTTTTTTACTCCTTTCTTTAACCTAATTTTTTTTTTATCTTATATATAAATTTATCCTATTTCACCACCATCACCGTCGTCACCACCACCACCACCACCATCGCCACCCCCACCACCACTACCACCCTAGCACCACCACCGCCACCATCATCGCCGCCCGCTGCCACCACCATCACCACCGCCGCCACCACCACCACCACCATCACATATTTTTATAAGGGTATTTATGTCATTTAAAACATATTTCATTTTTATTCCTTAAATCAACCAAATAGTGTAATATAATTCCTAAATTCTATTCCATATGTAATAGCATTCCTATTACCTCAAAATTCATTTCGTGAACTAAACGTGCTGTTAAAGTGCACCATTTTAACACTTAAGGTATGTCAGTTCTACACTTAAGGTGCATAAGTGTTTGATTATCAATCAATTTTAGTTTGTTTGACCACTATTACTTGGTTAAATAACCAATATGAATGTTGATTATTAACTTTTTGTAAAAACTTATTGCTCCAAAACGCTAAAATCTAACAGCTAATATACCAAACATATTTCTACAATCAGTTAATACTATCATCAACTAGTCAACCCCACTAACTCAATCAGCTAATAACTATTTGCCCCACACACACGTGCGGCGCGCGCGCGCGCGCACACACACACACACACACACACACACACACACACACATATATATATATATATATATATATATATATATATATATATATATATATATTATATGAGTTCTATTACGTGGACTCTCAAATTTTACTCCATGAATTATATTTCTTGAGCAAATATAGCAAATATAGATATGACATTTTAATTTTGTTGGTTAAAAAAAGTTGTCTACATTCAAAATTTATAAGAGGGAGTAAAAAAGACATGTTATATGTGTCCTCTAGATATTAGGCATCTTCATAATATAAGTTTCGTGCTTTCTATTTCATATTGATAAAGCTATTGTTTGCATGTAGTTTTCATACAATCATACCATCAAGTGCGTCTTACAAAATATGAACATACACGTTCATGAGTTGTTAAAGCCAAGCCAAGTCAAAAACCACTTAAGCCGTGCTGAACGGCTCGAGCCGCGTCTCTTAGCACGTGACGGAGCTCACACGAGTCGGCGTCGTTTCCCATTCGCTGCATCCCGTAGAACTTCAATGATTCGTTAGAATCTCTTTAGGTGCTTACGTGGCAGAATTTGATTTGTGGATTCTATCAATAATTGCGGTTCCAGGAATCTATAAGAACCTTTGCTTAGCTCAGCTGCCAATTATACATACACTTCCGTACTTCAACATCATGTACAGTACATGACACCAACTTATACAGAAATTTCCACTCATTATTTTCCTTTTATAATATATACCATTGATAATTGTAATCAAACATAATATATACTTAACTAATTTTGTTGGTGTGAATAACCCTGCACCATTATCCTTTAAGAATGTCGGAAGTTCAATATCTCATCTCATATAAAAATTAATATAATCAGCATTTTGTCACTTAGCTAAAGTACACTTAGGATACTTAGTGGTCTAACAAAAAAAAACATAATATATACGTATTCTCGTCCCATTTTATTTGTTATATTTTGTTTATTCCGTATTATAATATATTTTATATTAATTTAAATATGAAAATAGTATGACATTTTTTTTTTTACAAAATGTGATAAACACATATAATTAATAACCTTTATATTTTTTTGTTATCAATGACCATTTTCTTAGGCTTCATTGGGATACTAGTGAAATCTAAATGTGGATAGTAATATTGAAATGGTTGGTTTTAAGACACAAACATTCGGAAGTCAGAAACAAAGTATAAACGCTTAAAGAAATTCAAAAATCAATCTATAATTTTTCACTTGTATTTTTTATAAATAAGATAATGTATCACCAAGTTGTAGACATATTAGACCTGGCTGATCACTCGGCCCGAGGTCAAATCTAGATTGTCTAAATTGAACCGATTAGACGTAATTACACTATTTTCATTGGACTCTTCTACTTTTACATAATTTGTTTGGCGATTGAGACACTCTACAAATCTAATAACTTCACTTCCACTACATGCATATAGACAATCATCCAACAAAGCAATTAAAACCGTTAACGGTTTAAAGCACTCTAATTGATCTCTCAAACATATTTTGACTCATTATTAAGAAATAATCATCGAAAATTCGAATTATAACTCGATTCATATATTTCCACAATAAATTTGTGTTTGAATCTCATCACTTTCCTCTTGTAAAATATAATTAAAAAGGAAAATGATGTCTACAATGTATAATAATGGCAACGGGGTGGTACTAATAAATACTTAATTAAACGCAAAAAATAATAATAATAATAATAATAATAATAATAATAATACTCCGTAATAAGGTAGAATAAAGACAAAAAAAGATGGCGCGACAATCAATGAGGTAGATGCGTGTCGAGACCGCACTTGCAAATGCATCCTACAATTGGTGTCTGATTTTACAATGCTTCTGTCTCTCTGTTGGCTGACGCCAACTAGCGGACCCCACTATACCCATGTTTGGCTTTCTCCACCAATCCACCATTATGATTTCAAGTTGGAAAAAAATAATTAATTAATTAATTTTTTTAGTGAGGAGTGAAATTCGTCGTTATTATTTGATAGCATATATTAAATAAATTGTTTTATGATCTTAGTTAATATAGATAAATTAGTTTAAATTATTCATAACTAATTAATCTGGTTAAATTAAACTTGAAACATTGTAATTATCTAAATAATAATCTAATTAATTTGACTAGAGTTGCACCAATTAATTAACTGTAATCCTTGCATTAAGTTTTATAATTATTTAACATTATTAAATTAAATTCCATATCACACATCTTAATATTCATTAGTAAATAGTAATCATTTGATTAGTAATTCAATTAATAATTCAGTTATTACAAGTCGAACATAAATAATAATAGATGGTAATTTACGATTTGGTGTAAATAAAAGTGTATTTTACTTCATAATGTTAATTAAATAATACTTTACTTTATTATTTTCATTATGTATAAAAATAAAATATTTCACCCCTCTTAAAATGACTCAAAAAATGCATATACATTTTTATACTATATAATTGAAGTAGACAAATTTTTTTTTAAAGCTCAATAATTTAGCTCAAAAAAATTCACTAATTAAAAAAATGAAAACAGGTCACATAAATATTTTTTTTAAAAAACAATTACTACATTTTTAGTCACAACATCAAAATAACTAAAGTTTTGATAAATTAGGTAATTACAGCAAAGTTTGCAATCGCTACTCAAAAATACGCTTTAGGTGAAGGAAAAGCGGCAAAAGACCACCATGAGGTAAACCAACATAAGTTTCTTATAACTAACTGACTTAAATGGAGAAAGCCAATATGTAGCTCCCACAAATTGTGAAACTTGAAACTTTATGGTAACAAAGCCAGTTGTTTGATTACCGGTTAGGATTGACTTAGGTGAATGCTTCAAGTTGAGTCTTGAGTTGGATTCAGAATTATTAATTACATTATTAAAATGCATTGAATCAAACAATTAAAAATTATTTCTAGATACCCTTTACTCCAATTCAAAGGTTCACACCAATAATATTTTTCATTTCATGTCAAAACAATTAGGTGTGCAACTAGGAATACTTGTATGAAGAAGGGTTGACTTTTTCAAAATATTTATGATCAGTATAGTGATATACTTTCACATAAAAGTTTACATGTATAAACATAATTAATGTCAATAATGCAAATGGTTTTTAATAAGAAGGCTCAATAGGGATATATAGCTTGATTATGTAATTCATCTTAACGCGTTTACTATATTAGTCAATAATTATACTATAATCATTATTTCATAGAAAATAAAAATAAATCATTCACTTATAATTTGTTAAAAATGTGAACACATAAGTTAGCTCTAGTTTGACACTTTTTACTGCAATATGAGATTATGATTAACCTCTGTAAAGTGTATTTTTTATTTTTTTTTTAAAAAAAATTAAAAGAATAATATTGTGATTCTTATCACTCAAAACAATAATAGAGGAGATTATCAAAATTAGTGGGACATAAAGTGTAATTAATGCTTCATTATAGAATTCTGTATTTTGTTTTAATTATTATTATTCTTTGTTGTTGTTTGTGGTGTTTGAGGAAAGCATTGCATAAGATATTATGATGGCATCAGCAAAGTATATAAAGTTCATTACAATCAATGCAATTAAATAATTGAATTAAATAATTGTTGGTGTGGCTTAAATAATCTAAGAACTTAAAATAATAAGAATAATTAGGTCAGCATCTCTGGTGGTCCCACCTTGAAAGATTCATTATTCAACAATGGCAATGGGATTCTTTCGGAAACCCCTAACACCAACAACCAAACAAGAAACTATAGCAGTGGACTGCCCAATTTTTATTTATTTATTTATTTATTTTATTTTTTTAAAACCCTACCATGAACGATTACATCTAAGTTTAATAAATCTAAGTGTAAAAATTCTCTTCTTTTTTTTTTTTTCGATGAATTACAAATATTTGGAGAAATTGTCCATCGATCTTGACTATTTTAAAACTATATTTAAAAGAAAAATGCATACAATTTGATTAAAGTAATATTCAACTCATATGATGCCCAAATTAAAAAATTATACTTACTCAATAATTGCTTCAATATAAATTGAAAATTATGGAAAAGTCTTTGGATTTTACTAATAAAAAAAGCAAAGACATTATAGTCATTTGATGTAACCCAAATACATGGAAGATTCAACATGATGCGTGCTTAAAACAATGTCGATTTTCTTATCATAGACTACTGCATTGATCACTAAAATTAAAAAGAAAAAATTTAAAAATGGTGAGAAGTCCTACCTAGATGGAGTAATATTTCTATAAAGCTTCTAACTAATGCCTCTGATTATAAATTAATTAATTATTAATTATTAATAATTCGCCTGACACTGTTTCTGAAAGGGACTCCCTCTCTTGCTTCGCCACATATATAATTAGTTTTTTTTTTCTTTTAATTATTACTTTTTAAATCCACTGCCAAAAAATATTACAATTATATTTATAATATATGGAAGACCCAATGTCTAGGCCATCCTACTCACGAAGGATCAAGACAAAGCGTTGTGATCATGTTGAGACTATAGAGAAATCATACGAAGTAAAAATTGTACGTAATGGTATCGATTATGTTAAATTGTCTTGTCTTCTTTTTTTTTCGATAAATGCTGCCAGGATACATATTAATTCATGTATATAAATAGTACTCCGTAACATTTTACATGTTCAACACAAGCAATCAATCCAAATCATTGTATATATACTCGTGATCATCGTCATATTTTTACGTTGTTATATAATTTAACTATTATCTACTCATTACTTGCTAAAACTCTCAGGTTACATGGCTTAACCATTAGTACTCAATTATTAGTAAGTGTATTCTTAAACTAAAACTCAATGCTTATGAAGTGTATTTCTTATCACCAATAATTAAATAAGAGAGATATAATAATGAAAATTATAGGAAAAAAATAAAATGTTACTTATACTATGCATTATAAATTATTGTTTTTTAAAATCATATATATATATATATATATATATATATATATATATATTAAATTATACAAAATTTCAGTAGTCGAACTAGATGTCTTTGTTTTTTTCTCTCTTTTTTTTTTTTTTTTTTTAAAGAGCAACCATAGTAGAAATTTTTTGTGGTGGATTTTTTTTTTTTTGGGTGCTTTTTCTTTTTGTAAAACAAAAAATTTTGTGGGGTTCACTGGATGGGAAAATGAAACAAAGTAGCACTGCACTGCTCGCGTGTAAGAAAATATAAATTGTTGCGAAAAGGACTTTTTTTTTGGTTATCTTCTCTGATCTCTTTTCCCCTCTCTCTCTTACATGGATCTGAAAAAAACTAACAAAAAATTCATATAAATGAGGTTGCTCTAATAATGAGAGGAATTTATTATCATTATTTGAAGATGCATACGAAATAAATATCGCTCTTGTATACTACAGAGTACTTTTAAATAACACAAAAGAAGTAAATTATATTAATAATACATTGTACAAAGATTCAAACGAAAATATATTAATAAAACTTGAACTTGTGACGTGAGATGAGCATACTCAAGTTGGATTTCTTGTTTATATTGCGTGTGGTCGTTAATTAGCTATAAGGAGAGATTTATTAAATAATGATAAAATTTCACTGTGGATGATGGGATCTGACGACTGACATAACCATTTGCTACCTCGGAGGGTTAGCAAATTTGTTATATATTTTTAAAAATAAAATTTTTTAATTTGTTTATGTGGCCTATGATGAGTTGTGAGAACGCTTCGAAAAAGATAATTAGGATAATTATAATTAATTGAGATTACCATGGGCTTTAGAAATCTAAGTGTCGTCATTAGTTAGGCGTTTTTTTTTTTTTTTTTTTCCAAACGTCATTAGTTAGGCTATAATAAGTAGAAATGAATTTCTCAAAAATGATAATTAAATGTGAATACTTATCAACATGTAAAAAATAAAATAAAATAAAAATTACAATTTGAGAATTAGCACAGAGTAAATGTGAACTCAATCGATAATATATTGGTAAGAATTGAACTAGTAATTTTTTTTTTTTTATATTAAAATCTTATTCCATTTACTCGGTCACCTTTTCAGAATAATCAACACCTAATTTGATATGCGGATAAAGTTATATTGTTGCTATTTTATATCATTGATAAAATATATGATATTGTTAAGTACATATAGTAAACTTTGTTATTAGGTAGCCTTCTTTGGGCTTTATCTGTAAATTATATAGTGTGATGATGTTTGTAAATTTGTGACATGCCTCAGCGGTTTGCTTCTTTCTTAAAAAAATGCAAGGAATTCCTATGGTGCGGTTCACACTAGTATTGGTAATATTCAATACAATTATATGTGACATTAAATGCAAACGACACAGAAATTAATTACTAGTGTATGTGCCACTTTAAAATTTTTCTTAAAAGAGCAATTAACTTGCAATGATTATATAATGGACCAGGGCTAAAACGATTTCATTTCTTTTAATAAAAAACGGTAGTCGTTACCTTTGTTACGTTAAAATGAAACATAATAACATATCTCACATATTAAATATATATTGTCAAATGAAATTATAGTTGAATTATAATTATATTGTAGTGGTGCTGTAATAAAGCAACAATGTGTATAAAATAAAACTGAATAATAGGTTTCGCATATTGAGGGTACGTAGATTGTCAAATGAAAATGTAGTTGAATAAGAATGATACCTTAGTGGCACAGTAATGAAACTGAATAACAAGTCTCATATTGAATGTATATTGTTAAATGAAATGTAGTTTAATTAGAATGATACTAATTTGATGGTGATGTAATGAAATTATAGTGTGTAAAATAAAACTGAATAACAGGTCTTACATATTGAGTGTATATTGTGAAATGAAATTATAGTTGAATTTTAATGATATTTTAGTGTTGTTGTAATGAAACTATATTGTGTAAAAATGCAACTGAATAGCATGTCTTACATACTGAGTGTATATTGTCAAATAAACTATATTTGAATTATAATGATAATGTAATGATGCTGTAATGAAACTAATGTGTATATACAATGAAACTGAATAACAAGACCATAATGAAATTTCATGTCTATCATTATTAATAGAAAAACTTTAAAAGGTGTCATCTTGTTCATGGTCCATGTAAACCCCAATCCATAGTAAAATTTGCTATTGACTTGTGTCATTGTGTGCATGGTTTAGCAAAAATTAAGGATCAACCAAAGTCCAATTGGCATTGAGCTATTGGCCCATTTGAATGACTTGTGCGCATGGTTTAGCAAAAATTAAGGATTAACCAAAGTCCAGTTGGCATTGAGCTATTGGCCCATTGCATTCAAATACGATGTCATTGCTCATTCAAGATTGACCCTTGAACAAGAGTACTAAATCAAAAAGAAGGTGAAAAATTTGTTACAAATTGCTCTCAATAGTCAATTCCAATAATTATTAGACTCCTTAACCGCGAGTATTTCTTCAAACGCTCACAGTCAAAGAATGCGTCAAATCCCCGACATGAAGAACATGATGTCCCAATGCCACTTTCCGATTCCCACCCTCATCAACCACGCTCAAATGCTTGCAAACATCCACTCTGAATCTCGCAATCCCTTCTTCTTTTGGCCCCAGATGCAGCTTCTCGAATCCCAGCAAGTGTTTCTGCGGCGCGCCGTGAACTGACGGCGGCGACGAGAACAGGAAAACTGTGTGGCTTCCGCTTCTTTTCCCCACATTCTTGATTTTCAGGTGAACGTCGAACGCCGGCGAGTTGCTGCAGATTTGGTCTGCGGCGTCGACGGATTTGCAGTTGGATGAGTGACAGACGTGATCTTGTTCGAGGAAGAGGGAGAGTGATTCTGGCGCCTTAACTATCTGGTGCTTGTACTGGGAATAGCTCAATCCATGGCCGAATTTGAACACCGTCGGACCGGCGTAGAAACGGTATGTTCTGCCGGGATAGCCTGTTTTTGGGTCCGGCCGCATTCTCATATCAATCATCGGAATCTTGTCGGCATATGATTGTGGGTACCAGGTCATAGGTAGCCTTCCGCCTGCGAAAAACAATAAACCTGGATTAAACCAACACTACAAAGGTTGAATTCGGGAATTGGCCACCAACAATGTTGCAAAGGTGCTAGGTGCTAGTCGGGTACCCGAAAGCGCCTCTTAGGCGGTCGAATAATTTGAATATAGCACAATAGGCAAAAAATACCACTAGTCTGAGTTGGGCACCGACCCAGTCTAGTTAGGCGCCAACTAGTTGGAGTTAAGCGCCCAACTCTATGCCTAGGGCGCATAGTCGGTCAACCAACTAAAAATCGCTTAGGTCTAAAATAGCATCAGCCTAGTAACTTTACAACATTGAATCTGAACCAGTCAACTATGGGGAAGGATGTCAAAGTGGGTTAAGACTGGTGGACCGATCTAACTACCCGTCTCACCGCGGGACAAGTTAGAGTTAGAAAATTAGCTAGAGTATCAGGTTCAACTTGAGCTAAGTTGGTCAATTATTAACTTAATAACAACAAGATTATAAATTTATAATATCAACTCCTAAAGAAAATGACCTAATGACTTTGTTAGAGCGGGTCAGTTATGGCCTATGAACAATCTAAACTGTTGGAATAAATCTGATCAATTAGCTAGGGAGGGATATATGGATACTCACATGGATTGTAATATCCAAATATAACATCTGCAAGTGCAGCTCCGCCGGCTTCTCCAGGGAATCCAACCCAGAGAATGCTTGAAACTTTAGGATCATTGACTGCAAACGACACATCCATGCCGCCTCCCGACATGATGACAAGGATCACTGGTCCCTTGGAAACCTTAGCAACCTCGGATACCACGAATGACTGCTGTCCAGGAAGAGTAAGGTTGATTCTGTCGCGGGCTTCTGTCTCAATGGATTGATCAGACCCCATTACCAAGACCACTGCATCAGCTGCAGCTGCTATTTTCTTGGCATCATCTACTAAGGCTTTCCCACATGCTATGTTGTCACAGCCGGGGGAGTAATAAACAGTTTGAACTATGGCTTTCAGACCCTGTAATGAACTCGTATACTTGCATGGTTTTCCTGCAAAACTTCAAATGTTAAGCAGTATTGGCCTAGTCTTGTGGTTTTGTTGTTACTGGTTCCTCTTAATATGCTCTATTATTTTCACAGTGAATAAATTAATCACCTTCATAGTTTCCAAGCATAGTATGGGTTGCATCAGCATTAGGACCAATTACTGCCAATGATTTGATGGAATCTGCAGAAAAAGGCAGTGAATCCTCAGAGTTTTTCAACAAGACAATGCCTTGCCTTGCTGCTTCCCGAGCAAGTTCCTGGTGATCGGGTGTGCAGACATCTTTGGGGCCGAGGTTTCCATACAACTGCTTTCTTGGATCGCCATCGAAGAATCCTAGTCTCATCAGCGTCGCAACGTTGTTCGAGACAGCCCTGTTAATCTCTGATTCCTTAACCAGCCCTTGGTTCACAGCTCCCTGAGTGTACTTCCCCAGGAATTGGCCACAGTTCAGGTCCACTCCTGTTATATATGTACCAAATTCTTCAATTCTCAGTATTATATATGTCATTACTGCTTTATTCAGAGGGCTGTGAAGTGAAGTGAAGTGAAATGGCTCACCTGCATTAATGCCCAAAGCTGCAGTCTCCTCTGGTGTTTTGGTGTAATGTTGGGAGTTGAATATCACATTAAAAGAATCACAATCTGTAACTATGTACCTGCAGGATGCATGGATATATTGCATTGTTCATATGAATGATAGTTACAGACACTGCTGAAAATTATGAAATTTCCGACCACCTGAAAGTAATCTTAAATCAAGTCAAAAGTCTGGTTCCAACCACATTTGGTATCTGGAAAAACCTTTGTTGCTATTTCCGACCACTTTAAGATCACTTTCAAGTGGTCGGAAATTCCATAATTTCCAACAGTGAGATTTCTCAGGTCACTCAAACCAAAATAAGATATATGTTAGTACCCATTTAAGTTCCATTTGCCTCTAATCACCCCGGCCAGAAGGTCATGATCACCGCAGACTGGCTTGCCATTAACCTGATTGTATGAACACATAACACTGGCAACATTTCCCTCAAGAACACATTTCTTGAAAGGGGGTTGAAATGTATCCTCCATATCTTGCTTTGTCACCACGGCATTGAAATTGTATCTCACGTGGCTTTTCCAATCATCCACATCATAGGCTGTATAGTGTTTGCAGCAAGCAGCAACTTTGAGCTTCTTCTTGTTGCCGTCATCTCTCTGTTGTAGGCCTTTGACGTACGCCACCGCGTACTGGCTGGCGAGCACCGGATCTTCTCCCGGCGTTTCCTGGCCTCTTCCCCATCTCGGGTCCCGGAAAATGTTGATGTTTGGTGACCAATATGTCAACCCTGCCAAGCCAACATTGTGCATTGCTCTTGCCTCAGTGGAAACCACCTGGAAAAATATTTCTCAGTAATTAGAGTTCGACTCTATAGTTGCATTAACACCTCGCTTACCTACTATCCCGAATTTGAACGGTTGGGTGGAGTTGAAAATTTTAATGATCAATGTTTGACACTCAACTGCTCCTTGAAATAATGAAATCAATAATGTAGCTTTCTTTTATGGATTCCCAGTCATTATCTTATGGAGAAAGATATTATTGGAGGGTAGGTTGTATAGTTGACAAATATAATGCATTAGGTTGCTATGTCCTCTAAACAAATTTTAAACACTTTGTCCCTGGACAGTTCAGTTGGTTTTAAACAGATTTTAGACAAAGACACATGATCGCGACTTGTCAGCAACAATTTATAACTTTGTGCCAAATGTGGTGGACTCTTAGAGGTAACAATACTGATCGTCCAACCTAATAAGTCGTGAAATCGTTATGATTTACTTATCTACTATCCTGTTAGGCTAGGGTGTGGGCCGTGAACGAGATTTAATTAAACACTCTTCAAGTCTCAAGAAGTTAAATGCACGTGCATATTTAATCCGCAGGCAATAATTTTTTGGAAGCCAAAAGTACAAGGATTCTCCCAACTTTTCCAACAAAGAAACTATCTTTTATTGGTTTAGGTCTCCATCATCGTTGGCTATATATGCATAATAGTCCGCCATTTCAGGCCAACTATGAAGATGCCATTACAGTGAAAACTTAAAGAAAAAAGATGTATGCTTTTAAAAGATAGCCACTAATTTGATTCTTCCACAAAAAGCTTTATCTAAAGGTGACGAAATTTTTGAAAAGAAAGCACGAACGAGAAGCGCATTAGTGGCATTACCTTTCCGATGGTCTGAAACAGTGTGACATTGAAAGAAGCAGCGGTGAGGAGAGGCTGAGGGAAGCTGGTGGCGCCGGGGACTGGGCCGGAGAATTTGACGCCGGGGCCGGTGTAGGAGACGCCGTGCAGAGCCTCCGACCACCACTCGTAGCTCGGGATTCCCAGCCTGCTCACATTGCCGGCACTATTCACCAAGAACGAAATCTTCTCCGGCAACGTTAGCCTCTTCACCAGATCCTTCACCCTGGTTTTGTCGTCCCGGGACGAATCACAGAAGGCGAAATTCTTCAACCCCAGATTCCCATCGACGTCGCAGGCGAACACCGGCGAGTAGTTCTGTGCCGAAACGACGAGGTTCGGGTCGGAGAGAAAATGGCAGAGAATCAAGCCCAGAATATGGAAACATAGTAAAACAGAGCCCATTGCTCTCCCCATGACGACGATGAAAATGAAAACAACCAAATAACGATAGCTCAGCTCTTATAGTAACCAATGCAAAACTCTTGAAACTTAAAAGCAACCCGTGATGGATAAATTCAAGATAGTTTCATTGCATGGCCCCCCGTTTACAGTGACTATCTCAGAAAAATGCAGAAAGGAAGGGAGAGAGAGAGAGAGAGATTCTTTTTCTGGTGCTGTGTGAGTAGTGGAGTGTGTATGAAACCTGTATATATATAAAAAGCTAAAAAGGTTGGTGAAGTGAGGATCCGTGAAGGGTGCTTTTGGTTTTCTTTGTTTCGTAGTTACTCGCAAAGTGTGAAGACACAGAGAGAGAGAGAGAGAGACAATTACTCTATCTGCTGACCGCTGTCAATAAATGTTTTTTCGATGAAAACGGGAACAGAAAAAGATGTTTGCTAAGTTTGGCAACTTGGAACCTAAGTTTTATTGTCTTGCGCTTTTAATTACCTGCGCCTGCTTTTCTCCCCTTTAATTTGGTGCTAGATAGTTAGCCACGACAATAATAAACCAATCCTCTTCATTTGATCTTGTTATATCATAATGTTAAAGATTTAGTACATAAATGGTGAGCGGAGTTGAAGGTGGTGGTGGCCGGAGATGGAGTGGCGGCGCTAACAGTGCGCTCCGATGAGTTAGTCGACATCGGGGTGGAAGGTTTGAGGAGAGAGAAAAATTCCTGACCTGACTTATGGATACCAGATGAGAATTTTACGATAGGAAAGACAATATTAACTGAACTGTTACAATACAAGAGCCCTATAGGAATAACTAACCTATTAAGACTCCTAAACAATAGTTAAGTTAAGTCAAAGGAAACAACAGCCACTGAAATATAAAACATATTATAACTAATATTACTAACAAACTGGACAATATATCAATTTCATTTGTCAAACGTTCTGTGAATGGAGTTGCCCACTTATTAGTTAGGTACTCCATTCCTAATGCAGATCATAAGTAATGGTTCCATGAATTTCCTACCTTCATTTGCTAGTATTTGTACATTAATATCTAGTATCTACAACAAAATCAAGTTTATAGATTATTATTTTTTTGTTTGGGTATTAATCAAACCTTACACAGTTACACTATACCCCTATGTAAATCAAACTATTTTTATTGGCAAAAGTCATTAACAGTATTACGCCTCCCGTGATCTATAGCTGAGGGGCAGGGTATTCTGACTGATTATGATCCACGTTGGATATATCTGATGATCGTGCCTACTTGATCGTTATACCGTGGACCAGGGTCAAAATAGACAGATATATATGTATCCAATACACATAATTTGACTATATAATATACAAAATTTATAAACATGATATAATGAACATAAATTTTGTGCATTGCGAACATGACTTCTGTACATTATGCATATGAATTATGTTTATTATGTTTAGTGTTTATGTGTCTTCATTATATCATGTTTATGTGTTTTGTATATTATGAACATGAATTCTGTATGTTATTAAATCAAATTATATGTATTGGATTAGGATCTATAGTATATGCACTGTTGATCCTGGTCCACAATATAAATTGCGTATATGATGGCCGTGCCTACTTGCACCATCTTTATTTGGCTTTGTCCTTCCTCTGCGCGCATATTAGCTAGCTCGTGATTCAGACCTTAGCTTGCAAATTTGTCTTCTCTACTTTTGTCTAATTTTTCATTTATAATTATCATCCCAAAGTTCTCATGCATGCACCCAATCCCCTTCGTTCCCGCCATACCCACAAGTGGAATCCACCAATCTAGAGGGTGTGGTTGAGTGAAAGGAACTCATCAATCCTAAAAGGTTCGATCATTGGTTTTGGGAATGAAGTAACCTTAAATCTCAAGGCCAATTGTCCTATCCAAAAGAGGTGTCTACAATTCAGAGAATTAGTCATTGTGTCCAACAATGAAAACTCTGAGTATACCCAAAAAAAAAGAGTGGAATCCACCACTGCAACCACTAATGCAAGTGTAAAGTCAATAATTCCCTCTTGTAAATGGTGCATGCTTCAAGTTAAAAAGAGGCCGGTCTGAATTAAACTTTTCCACCAACAAGATCGAGTAATGGCAATTCGGAGAGAATTTGGATTAGTCTCATCACAATATTATATTGTATATAGTATGCAAAACAAAATTATGTATCTGCTTATCCATAATATTATTAATTAAGTAATAACTGTTTTTTATATGTGTATACACACTCTTCCCTTTTTAATAATTGCTTGAATTGATTGACTGATAGTTGGGTATGTAGGGCTGGTGGACTGGTGGGTGTTATATATGCGTCCTTCTTTTAATTTCCAATATTAATGATTCAATAATCTTAATATAATGCATTTAATAATTTAGTCTGGTAATTACTAGATAAAAGTTTCATTTTGACAAAATATAAGATACCATAAATGTAATTTACCACAATTTATTGATCTTCTCGGTTTGAAGCGATCAGTTATAAACAACCTAGGCTATAGTACTTCTTTGTGATCCTTTGTTAGTGTAGCTAAGATCACAATGCAGACTTCACACCGTGTACAAACAATTGCCTTCCATTAATTACAATGATCAAATATCTAGACACTATCAAACACCAAGGAAGCAAACTAATCACATGGGAAAGCTAATTGCCTTCCATTCATCACCAACTAATTAATCAATCATGCATATCCAATAAATTAGAGACTAGTAATAGATTAAATAGTCATTTTTAACAAATCTTTTTCCTCAAATCTGAGTATATATGTGCAATGTGGATTTGATTGAAAGAGTATTAACATTAATAATTCAACTCGTACGTGATCTTTATGTACGAAAATTATACTTTATTCACTCAGTGATTCCTTTAAATGTTCAAATTTTCTGCTTGTTTTTTTTTCTTGGGTAGTTGAGAAGTCATCTTTATCCGGCCTGTCAATTACATAATAATTGAGCTCTAATTGATTTAGTGCAAATCAAATGCAATATAAATTGCTTTAGATGAAATGTTCCAATCTTAATAATTAAGTCTACTTTATTGGTTCATTTCCAAGTTTATTAAATGATACTAATTTCAAAACCTTATTCAAGTGGCTCATTATTGTTTGTCTATGAAAAAAAGGAAGAGGTAGACATAATAATTGAATAATCAAATATACTTTTAACGGTGAAATTGCGTGATTTTAACTTAGTTGAAACATTATTTTGATCACAAGTAAAAAATAAATATAATAAACAACCACCCCACTTGTCCACTATATTGCTTAGCTTGCATACACCTAACGTACATTCATGGCTACATTATATTTGGACAATATATAGAAGCATGGCTCCCCATTCCTTTCTCTCCATCCATTATTCCTTTGTTGGAAAAACTCCATGCTTTTGCCCTACACATCTAGCTACCTTATCTATGTGGTCCAACGCCAAATCCCTTAGCTTATTTGGGGATACCTTAGTTGAAATTTTTTACGTATCTCGAGACATCGTATTATGTTTTTTTATAGTATTATATCTTATGTTAAAGTATTTATAAAGAGTATTTTAAAATAGTATATAATTTTATTTATTTTTTAAATTTAACTTCTCGCTTTACTAAGATGATAGGAAAAAAAAATATGTATATAAATAGAGAGATAATAACATTTTAAGTTTCTCAATAATAACGTTGTAATAAAGTTAGTAGTACTCAAAAAAAAATTAATTATATATGTCGTAATTGTTATTAATGTCTTGATTGTTTGAACTGTCTCATATTCTCATATCGTTATACTGTGCATCCGTATGCACCATGCATGGTGCATACGGATGCAAAAACGACGTCGGCGCATCTCACTTAAAAAAAAAAAAATCAGTTTCGATTCCCCTCAACAGCATTATGTTGTTCATTTATTCTGGAATTTTAGTTCATGGATTCTGGAATTTTAGTTCATAGATTCTGAAATTTTAGTTCATTGATTATGGATATTTAGACGTGAACCGAAACTGATTGTTTTGCATTCATGCTGGATATTTAGTTTATTCATTATGGATATTTAGTACATTCATTATGGAATTTTAGTTCATTCATTCTAAAATTTTAGTTCATAGATTCTGAAATTTTAGTTCATCGATTCTGGAATTTTAGTTCATTGATTTTGGATTTATAGTTCAAATTATGCACAATATAATGTTGTTGCTGGGAATCGAAACTGTTTTTTTTTTTTCTTAAGTGAGACGCGCGTTTTAAATAAAATGACGTCGTTTTTGCATCCGTATGCACTATGCACCATGCATGGTGCAACGGATGCACAGCATAATTTGCCCATATTCTCATATGAACTGTCTTCAGGTGATTTTAGACATTTAGCCCAACAAACTATAAGGTCAAGATTGAAGTATTACGGGCTTCATAAACATCTAGGCCCAATTACTCCTATTTTTGTTAGGGCATTGGCCCAATAAGGAAACAAGGAAACTATGGATTATTTATTTATTTATTTATTTATTTATTTTGGTTTAATATATAGTATTTAGTATAGAATATATACACACAGCACACTCAAATTTAGTGCTTATTATATTATATATTATGTTATAAAACTTAAAAATTATAATTATTTGCTTAATATTCATCAAATATTTTTCATTGTGTTGTTACTTGGCAATTTGTAATTTCAACATAATGTAATACGGAGTATTATCTCGCATAATGTGCATTAACTCTTTCATATAAGAAAAAACAAAATATGAATTCAAGTTTGATTTCATGTGAGAGCTGCATTTTTAACTTTCTTGATTTAAGTTATTTGGCAACATAGACGGATTTACTCCTTGTGTTTCTTTGTTGGCTATGACTACAAGGCTGCCTCCACTCGGAGAGCATACTCGAATAACAGTTACAGACTTATCATTGCAAGTCAAGAAGATCTCAATTCCTCATGATAGAATCAATATTGCTTTAGGCTACACCCATCTCCTCTTCTTTCGAGATTCTTAAGATTAATCCGAAGATTTTTAAGTAGCGTATTTCTCTATTATGCAAGATTATTCATTGTTCAATTTATTAGTTGCTCTATTATATTCATTGCCAATGTGTTGTGAATTTTTACTAGTTATTGTCTCAACCCTCTTCTACACTCCTCGTCTCAATCTATGAGATATTTAACCACCTTCTTACAATTTGTTTCAATCAAAATATATTTGTTGCCTTTTCTCCATACAAGATGAGTTGATTTCAAAATTGATTTTATTTTAATGTTTTAGTAATAAATTCTCAATATCCAATCATTATAATAAATTTTGCGAAGTAATTAACATGAAATCGAATTATTATTAAATTCACAAAAGTCGTGTCACATTAAAGCTACGAGGTTAGTTGTTAATGGCAGCAGCGCAGCCACGCAACTTCAGCCTAACACTCCATTTTTTGTAGTCAAAGATTGACACCTCACAACATTGACAATTATTACGGTACATTTCCATTATTCCTCTTTTTTACTTTGAATTTCTTTTACTTTGGTCAATAAAAAAAAAAAAAACAAATTAACTTTATTATCCCTTGAGTATTGAAAGTCAGACACTAAAACAAACAGCTTTTTTTAAGCTTATAATTCTGTTCCCTTTTCTCACGATCCAGCACTGTCAAATAATAATTTTCCCTTTTAAAAAAAATATTTTGCACCTAATTAATTTTTTTTTTGTTAGTACGAAAATATTTTACATTTTTTTAGTACACCCCTAGTGAGGATCAAATTCATGATCTTTTATTTTGGAGAGTCACTCTATGCTATTAGATCATAAGATCATTGACAAAATATTTCCGCACTAACAAAAAAAATTAGGTGCAAAATATATATATTTTTTTTTTTCTAGCGTTGCATTAACAATCTAGAGGTGCATCCTAGTTGGTCTGCTCGTTTGCAGACAATTAGACATAATTAAGACATCAAATTACATTAAAACAAATAAAAAATATGTTTTCATGCTCACATGAGTGTATATGTGTGACACTAAAGGCCAACCAATGTTCAATAATGTTTGTCATCCCATCATATCATGCAAAACACATACAAATCCAATGTAATAAGCTACAATGAATATGATGTATGTATGAAACTGCCTTTTTTTTATTAGTTATAATCACTTAAGTAAGTTGTGTATAATAATGGTCATTTAGACATTGATAGTTATCTTATTAGCAAAAACATTTTCATTTTCACAACATCATTGCCATCTATAATAATGCATGGATCATATATTGGAACAACATAATTGACCAAGGATCTTCCATTTGTATGATTAACTAAATATATGTTGAAACAGTAGAACTGACCAAAATTGTTAGAATAGTAGAAGTGATCAAGATCTGCTAGTGGTATCAACTGGGTTGATCAAGTTCTATTTGCATTATATTTTGATGGGAGCTGTGTGGTATGCTATTTTACTTTGTCTACCTCTACCATTTGACCAAGGATCTTTCGCATGACCAAAATCTTATGATTAATACTTGTTCCAAAATTACAATCTTTCAAAATAGTACTCCGTAATATTTACTGGTGTGTAACCTCTTTCATTTTGCAGTCTTCTAAAGTTAACTAGGGGTGATTAAATTCCCGTCAGGTGTTATAATATTTAACTCTAATTTTTAAACTGGTAATCTAATATGACGATTTTATAACATCTTCTGTTATTTCATTTTTATTTTTTTTTGGTGGCCATGAGGTGTTTTGAGTAGGCCCTAATTATAAGATGCACCTTTAAACCCGTATCATACTCATATTAATCCTCATTCGCACCAGGCCAGCTCAATTAAAGGGCAAAGTGCTAGCCAGATTGATTTTTTCATACTTAAATTGTTTTCCATTCATTTATTTCATATTTAAGTGTGAATTATAGTTTTAAAGTTACCAGGACTATGTGGTCTAATGGTACCCGGGTTGGACTTCCATTTGAAAGGTTATGAGTTTGAGCCTCAGTGGAGGCGTTATTGGTTCTTTGTGTTTCAATACGTTGAAAAAGTATATGAACAGATACAACAATGTAATAGGGCCAGTAACATTCAAATATATCGTGAATGCTAATTACTCAAATTCTTCCTATATATACATGTTATTTGCATAATGTTTTTGTACCAATACAAATTATAATTTTTTATTTGCTTATTTACTGAAAGTATCTCTAAAACTTGTGTGAGATTGTCTCATGGATCTTTGTCCGTAAGACGGATTATGTCAAGATGCAAATGCAATACTTATACTAACAAATGTAATACTAATTAAGAATAAAGTGTTTGTTACTTATATGAGAAAACATAATACTTTTACATTACCCAAGCCTACCCGTCTCGACGGGTAGGGATCTGTGAGATGGTTCCACACACGTAACGGGTAGGGATCTGTGAGATGGTTCCACACACGTATGATCATATTCAATGATGTATAGTTCCATAAACTTCTTATATGTAAATTTTAAAAGTTTAAACATAAATAGATAAAAATTGTATAGTATATGTAGTAAAGTTTAAAACAATAATAAATGAAACATGTGTGACTAGTACATACCAAATAGTGGCACGCATGAAAACCGTTTGATTGTCTCGTCTTGCAGCTGTGGCCCACATGCGGCCGTGCGTCTTTGACTCATTTTAACATTAAGGACTGTTTGGTTCACTATTTTTTGATTTAGTTGTTAATAAATGACCATGAAAATGATTGTTTTTTTTTCTTTTTTTTTTTTTTTTTGGGAGATGACGAAGGGAAACCTCGAATAACAATAACCAAATTAAACTATGTTCAAAACTGGCACCCTCATATTTACATTGCAATGCACCTAAAAATTTATTTTTGGTGTACTTTATATTATTTTTAGTAAATTAAGTTTTAGTGTACTATCTAAAATTAAATTTAAAGTATACTAAAAATGAGCCTATAATACTATATTAGTGGTTTATCTTACAATTTAGATCATGATCTACAATATAATTTAGTCAACACTCATCATCATCTAACCATGTATATAATGTATAAAATTATATTATATTTGTGTATATAAATATAACTTTAAGTTTATATGTGTCTGATTCAATTAAAGAGATTTAACTGAAGTTATTTACAATTTAATTTGTTATAATATTAAGTCTAGTTTTAGTATATAAATTTTTTATATATTTAGAATTACATTAAAACTATTATTAAGTACCAAAATTTCAATTTAAAATAATACGAAAATAAGTTTTTTTTTATAAAGAATTCATTTGAACAATAAATAGTAAACATAACAAATAAAATGAGACACATAAAGTATAAAATAATAAATTTACGGTTTTACTATTAGTTTAAATTTTTAATTAAGATGTGATATATTATTCAATTTGATACGAGAGTAGTAGTAATATGTAAACAGTAACATAATTAATCACCATTTCAGTCTAGCCCTTCGCATATCATCTTTTTAATACAGTTTAAATTTCATGTAATGTTTGTAAATTATTACTTAAGAACAAATTTTCAAAAAGCAACAAGAAACTTCCCTCGTTATTAAAAAAAATATTAATAAGGGCTAAAGATCTTGTAGTCGAACAACATTTTCAAATAGGAGGTCACAAATTAGAACTTCAAGTATGTATAACTAGCAATGTTGAAAAAATCGTTAGGTACCCTCTAGTCGCCTGTGGACTGCCTAGAGCGTCTAGGGTGCCTAAGAGGCCGACCGCCTAGTGCCTAGACGCGATTTTTACAACACTGATAAGTAGATACTACATTGTAATCGAGATGATACTACTAAAAAAACATTAATAAGGAAATTGTAAAATAGAAAAATTGACAGTCAACATCTGAAGAGTAGAAAAGACAACTGGGTAGGAGTGAAAGGTAAAGCATTGACTAGAGATTAGAGAATAGAGAATAGAGAATAGAGAAGCTCACCCCAACTCCAAGCCCGAGTGGCAATTCCCCCGTCATCTGCAACGACGTTTCTCTCGTAGACCGTTGAATTTTTCTTCAAAATCACCTCTCCTCTCTTTCTCTCTCTTTCTGCTTTTTGGAATCCTCAATTCTCCCGGAAAGTGAAAGAAAAAAGGGAGTTCAGTTCATCTTCTAACAAAATCTCCATTTCTGAGCTCTTCTTCTTTTGCTGCTGAGCCAAGACCGCTTTTGTCCCTTTTTGCTTCAGTTTTACTCCTCAGATTCTCGATTTTACTCCTTCAAAATTAGGGCTTCCGGTTGCGCTTTGACTTTTTTTGTTCTTTTCTTTTGAGCTGAAAAGCTAGCTGCACGATGCTGAAGAAGGGAAGTCTTAGCTTTTAGGCGGTGGTGATGAAGAAGAATAAGTTGGTAATCATGGATCGGAGGGTGCCCGTGATCTGGGTTTCTGCTTCTGCTGCTCTTCTATGCTTCTTGTTGCCGTTTCTTCAATTGTCACTAGTCTCTGGTAACTCTGAAGGTCTGTTCTTTTGGAATCTTTTCGTTTTCTCAGTAATGATTTGAGCATGATTTATGGGTTCTTCACTTTCGTATCGATTTCGGATTTCCTAGCTTATTCAATTCGAGTATCTTGTAATTGGTAGTGTGATTACTACTCCATCTCCTATTTGCTCCAGCTCTTGCAAATTGGTCAAAATCTGATCTTTACTTGGGTATTTGTAGTAATGCTGTGAGGAAGTAGGAAAACTGTATCCTATTTGTTAATTCTTGAACTAGCAAATGGATTGGGAAAGGTTGGAAATTGGAAAGACAAGAACTGGTTGTGTAGTTATAAAGTTGGAAATTTATAATTTGCTCATGTGTGGCTACAAGATATCAACTGATGATTGGGCCATTTATGCAAGACAGGTGATGCATTGAATGCTTTGAAGACCAATTTGGCGGATCCTAACAATGTTCTACAGAGTTGGGATCCAACCCTTGTTAATCCCTGCACATGGTTTCATGTTACGTGCAACAGTGACAATAGTGTTACTAGAGTGTAAGCTGTTTTAAAGACCATGTTTTTTTTTTCTCGTTTTTGTGTTACTGGGTTGTTCATAGACACTCATGGTTATGTTTACTTTTAGGGATCTGGGAAATGCAAATTTGACGGGTCAACTGGTTCCACAGCTTGGTCAGCTTCCAAATTTGCAGTACTTGTACGTTCTTTTTTTGTCCCCTTTTTCAGTTTTTCGTATATCACATGCTCAGCAACTTAATTGACAGGACCAATTTCATGTTTTTCAGGGAACTATATAGCAATAATATAAGTGGAAGAGTTCCTACTGAGCTTGGGAACTTAACTAATTTAGTTAGTTTGGATCTCTACCTGAACACCTTGAGTGGTCCTATCCCCGACACTTTGGGCAAGCTCCAAAAACTTCGCTTCCTGTACGAGGAGTTACACTTCCTCCTACCTTACATTTTTATATGGTTAAATTTTCATCTATTGAAGAGAGAAATGTGCATCTAGTAGCTGGCTCTGCCCTATACTTTCTGCTATTTTGGGGAACCTAATTTTTTTGTTTTTAAAATTTCTTTATGTTTTGGGGGTAATTTGAAGGAGGCTCAACAACAACAGTTTGACTGGTCTTATTCCCATGTCTTTAACCACAGTTACTACACTGCAAGTTCTGTAAGTATAAAATTGATTGTTTTTTCAAAATCTCCATTATTATTATTATAATTGTTGTTGTTGTTTTCTTCTTTGATGGGAACGAATACTCATTCTCATGCAAATACAGTGATCTGTCAAACAACCATCTACGAGGACCAACTCCAGTCAATGGTTCCTTTTCACTATTTACTCCTATCAGGTTTGTCTCAAGTAGTTTCTTTCAATTGCAATATTTTCTTGATATATTCGTGGGTGAAATCTTGATTCCTAAGTGGCTATGCTTTAGTTTTGCCAATAATCCAGAACTGCAAACTCCTCCGGTTTCTCCTCCTCCTCCACTTTCTCCAACACCCCCTTCTTCTCCAGGTTTGTGGAAGTCTTTTTTTTTTAAAAAAAATTACAACTCTTTCCGCTACCCCGAATTTCCAAGTGGATTAACATATAAATTTGGTTTCAATGAATCTTGCAGTGGGCAACAGTGCGACTGGGGCCATTGCTGGAGGGGTTGCTGCGGGTGCAGCTCTACTGTTTGCTGCTCCCGCAATTATGCTTGCTTGGTGGAGGAGAAGGAAACCACAAGACCATTTCTTTGATGTTCCCGGTTAGTTTGTTTACATTAATGGCATCAACTTCAAAGATTTCATTGTACTTAGAAGCATTCTCATCTATAATTTTGTTTTCAGCTGAGGAGGACCCTGAAGTGCATCTTGGACAGCTCAAGAAGTTTTCTTTGCGTGAACTACAAGTTGCTACCGACAATTTTAGCAATAAAAATATACTGGGTAGAGGTGGATTTGGTAAAGTTTACAAAGGGCGGTTAGCTGATGGCTCGTTAGTTGCTGTTAAAAGACTGAAGGAGGAACGTACTCAAGGTGGGGAGTTACAGTTCCAGACAGAGGTTGAAATGATTAGTATGGCTGTGCATAGAAATCTTCTCCGTTTGCGTGGCTTTTGCATGACGCCAACTGAGCGGCTGCTCGTTTATCCTTATATGGCGAATGGAAGTGTTGCATCTCGTTTAAGAGGTATTTTTTGGGTTTGCAAACGCCCTTCTTTCTGCAGTTAATATGCAGGCTGCATAACTTTTTTTTTTTTTTTTCTATATCTTGATTTGGCTTGCAAAATAAGTCAATAACCAGCTTGGTTGGCGTGAATGGCCGTGCACTCTTGCCCTTTAAGAGAGGTTGGGAGTTCGAACCCCCTCTCGTATGGAAAAACCAATCTGGCCAGCACTTTACCCCTTAATTGGGCCGGCCCGGTGCGAACGGGGATTAGTCGAGTATGGTACGGGCTTAAAGGTGCCTCCTACAGTTAGGGTCTGCTCAGGACACCTCGTGGTCTGACAAAAAATAACAAATAAGTCCTCGATGTTGGAAGCTAATAGAAATCGGGTCTATGCTTTGCACACTATTGTTGAGAAAGTGCTCTTTGGCAAGTGTATGCAAAAATAGGCGAAATGGAACATGGGAGAACTTGACCAAAATGCCCCCTAACGTCTAAAAACCAAAATAGAAAAGATGGATAATGGCACTCATGGTGTCTGATTTCATTGGATTTTTATTCGTGTGTCATAAATTTAATTTTGTATTTATAATATGAATATTATAAATAATTGATGTTTGAATTTAGTTCGAGTTAAACTTTCAAAACCTTTCCCACTTTTGCTTAATATCCGGTAAGCTCACCCTAATTATTCACTCTTGTAGAGCGATCTGACTCACAGCCCCCACTTGATTGGCCGATAAGGAAGTGTATTGCTCTGGGATCTGCTAGAGGCCTTGCTTATTTGCATGACCACTGTGATCCTAAGATCATTCACCGTGATGTCAAAGCTGCTAATATTTTGTTGGACGAGGAGTTTGAGGCAGTTGTTGGAGATTTTGGACTTGCGAAACTTATGGACTACAAGGATACTCATGTCACGACTGCTGTACGTGGTACAATTGGGCATATAGCGCCGGAATATCTATCAACTGGAAAATCTTCAGAGAAAACTGATGTTTTTGGTTATGGAGTTATGCTTCTCGAGCTCATAACTGGGCAGAGAGCCTTCGATCTTGCTCGTCTTGCCAATGATGATGATGTCATGTTACTTGATTGGGTAAGCATTTTCCAACATTCGATACCACCCTTTTACTAGGCTATTTCAGTCCCCTTGTTTGATGTCTTTCAAACTTAAACAAACTTATGTTATTGGAGGAAATTACGTAAGCATCCAGAATATAAGAAGTATCGAACCAAATTGCAACATGCCATAGAAGTATAGAACGGACTTGAAGTGGAAGAAAATTTCACTTGTTGAAATACGAAACAAGTTAAGGGGGTTGTGTAACTTAACATCGATTGTTAAATGTTAACCATGACAGGTTAAGGGGCTTCTAAAGGAGAAGAAGTACGAAACATTGGTTGATGGAGATCTTCAGGGTAATTATATTGAAGAAGAGGTGGAGCAGCTGATTCAGGTAGCTCTGCTGTGCACGCAGAGTTCCCCCGGGGAACGTCCAAAGATGTCGGATGTTGTGAGAATGCTTGAAGGTGATGGGCTTGCAGAGAGGTGGGAAGAGTGGCAGGAGGAGGAAATGTTCCGATCAGACATAAACCACATGCACCACCCTAACACTGATTGGATTATTGCTGATTCCACTTCAAATCTTCGCCCAGATGAGTTATCTGGCCCAAGATGATCTTTCTCTTTCACCCATTCTTCACATATAGGACTGGATTATGGAAAGTTTTTACTTTTGTAATTGTAATTCATACGCGCTGTCGTCTTTGTGCATATTTTCTTTTCTTTTCTTTGCATTTGCTCTCTTCAGAGTTGTTTCATGTCTTAGGAATTTTGATGGCATCACAATGTCCATAGGCTGCTGCTGAACATTACATTACAGGTTTGAAGGGGGTAGTAGAACCATGGCAGGAATGGCTGTGGGAACACCCATCTACCAATGTACTTGGATTTTTTTTTTTTTTAATTTGTCCTGCCATAGTCAAGTTATTAAACAATAAACTTATTTTTCACACTTCTATAATCTCAGGTAGTGACTGCGAGTTTCTCTCGTTACAAAAATAATTAAAAAAAAAAAAAAAACCTACAAACATCACATTATTAGCAGTAGAAAACTAGAACATTCAAATATGAACAGAAACTGTGGCGCATTGCATAGATTTGCAGTAACATAACAAAGATAGAAGTGTTGTTTCATGATCTAGACAAACACTACACGTCTATTGTCATACAACAAAAGTGCTAAAATACAAGAGTTCAAGGGGGCAGGGGGGTGGGGGAGCTTGCGTTTTTCTCCAATGGCACAAAAGATGAGAGAGATCCAGACATAGAACAACACTTCACCAATGGACAATTGTATGGCAGCTATTCTCAACAGAATGATGTATGAATTTCAAAACCAGAATGCCTCCATGTACAAAGCAGCAAATGGCCTTCTATCCACAAATATGACAAGGACCAGACAGGAGGGTTTCTCTTCATTTTCTACTGCCTGTTGCGATTCTTGGTTTTCCTTTGACCTCATTTTCCTGCATAAAGCAGCATCACAGGCACTATGTTCTTAGTCGCAGGTAGACAGGACAGGTGGACAATTCTCAGAAGACAAATATGTTGGAATTTTTAATTCAAAAATTTTAACAATTGTATACCGGTGGCAAGTGCAGGAAAATGCAGGTCTTTGCAGTTGCTGGATTATGATTCTCTGCACCCTTGCTCCAATCGTAGCAGACCTGTAAGCAAAGATAGTGATGAAAGCTTTGTGAACAAATCCATACAGAGAATCAAAGCTTAGTAGTGGGCTATCATATCATATCCCATTATTTATATCCAACTCACAATACGCAAGAGGGAAAGAGGAGTGATGTACCGCGTATGCAAATATTGAGCCATCGTTGTTGAAAGCGCTGCAAGGAATAGGCTGACTGCAGCGTTGCATTGCCTATACAATATAATATACATGTGAAGAAAATAATAATGTGAAGGATTTTGTACCCCAAGTGTTAAATACATTTACTCATGTTAAATATATAGAATTTTGTTACTTGTGTAGTTCTTTCATTCTTACAACAATATACACTTATGCTTTCCTTCTCTTTAAATTTAAACCTAGGGTACAAGTTTTTGTACTCGTGGTCTTGAATGTATATAATTTTGTAAAATACTCCGCTTTTTTCCTTTCTTATCAGTTGAGACAAGAAAGCAAGGAAGATAATTAGGTCTGCTATGAGGCCTTCGTGACTCTTGGCCTTTAATGTAATTCAATGTATCTGCAGTTGGTGTATATAAGTTTTTAGGTTACTGTGTCTCTCATTCTTTCAACATACACTTGTACCCTTAATGAAATCTTTTGAGATTTTAAATTCATAAAAATTAACTGTTAAAAGCTGTCAAGATACCTTGAGCCTCTGTTTGCTGTCTTTATCCCAAAAGTTGAAGGCCCCATCAGATCCAGAAGTAGCAAAAGTGCCATGCATCTGTAATTGGGGAACATCAAACAACAAAGAAAGTAAGTTGTTTAGCACAAAGTCAAGTTCAAAAGTATAGGAACCTACAACATAAACTGTATTGTCTATATTTTGTGTTTGGTGTTTAAGCTAAGGAGGATGACACAACATAAGAAATACTACTACTACTGTACTTCAAGCCACTTGCATTAACACATGCGTAACACCACATCTCCATGATTTATATATTACAGCAAAAAGTAAGATCTATTTTCCTTCACACAAGTAGCAAACTATGCATGCATAGCCTCCTATCCAAAAAGTGAACAAAAACTGAAAAACATCTTACAGGATGGAAATTCAGAGAGTTGACAGAGTAAATGTCATTGTTCTCTCTGTGGCATTTGAAAGTAAAGTTTTTACTTTGCTGTGCATCATCAATGTGGTGTACGCCTACCCTTCCTTCAATTGAGCCAACCTAAAGAAATAATGCAAAACATATTATCATAATGGACTGACTCAGAGAGACTTGTATGGGGAAGAAGATAGAAAATAACATTGCAGAACATAAATGGTACACATCAACTTCAATATAGAATTAAACTAGTAGACTATAAAAATAAGTTATATGCAGAGTTAAAACTCACCAGGAAACCTTGTTGATCAGGGAAGGCAGCCAAGCACCTTGTCTGGTACTTTAGAGGTGACATGATCCTCTTGAACTCAGTCTGTAATATTAGTATTTTGGAAGTCATTGTCTCCACAAAATAAATCATTAAATTGGCAATGAAACATAAAGGAAGCTTTAAGCAAATGCAAATCAGTAAGCATTTTAGAAAAATCTTAGTAGCAGCTCAAGGAAAAAGTGGACATAATGTGAAAAACATGACAATCTCTATTGTTGCAACATTCCGAGACAAAGAGGTAAATCCATGAAAGGATGTTTCACAGTTAATTAATAATATAATTAATTATTTGCACAAATAAGGAAATACCTGAGGATTTTGCAAATTAAAGACTATAAGATTTCTATCAGCAGTTCCAGCAACCATTAAAGGATGCTTCACAGTTAGCGCATAGCAGCGCTCGGGAAGCTGTTGGACGTGTGCTGGATTCGGTTGCCTAAGATCCCAATACCTGGAAAAGAAGATTACATCAATTGGATTGCCACCCTTGAATCAAGCACTAAAAGCTTTCATTTTATTATGTGACAATGAAAGGCATTTTCAACAAGATGAAGGGGTAAAATCCGATGTAAGTATGTAACAATACACAAAAACTGGAAAACTCCAAATACAAGAACATATTATAAGATTAAATTATGTATTGGCTTGAAGGAATACTGCAATATCCAATCAATTCATAAGATGCCAGGATAGTTTAACTAAAGCAACAAAATCAGGAAAAGAGAAAGTTATTCACGTGATTAGATAAAGATAATAGAAATAAATAAATAAATAAATACTAAACTACAAGTCTGAAAGTACTACTTTGACAAGTTACAAACATAATTTACCCAAATATTGTTTTCTTTGGGTTATAAATTTGTCACTTAATTCAAACAGAACAATACATATGACAAAAACTGACTTTAGAACTGATCATTTCTGTTATAAACTAAGATTAGGCTAGGGTTACTCAATTGGGCTATAATGCACATGGGCCAAACAACACTAAAAGATTGAATTCAACCAATTTGCTAGTCTAACTCATGGCCTTACAAACCCATATATTCTCTCTTATTTTTTCAATGTGGGACTCTTAACAATTTCAATCCTTCAGCCCCTTTGAAGCACCATAAACATTTTGATCTAAAAGAGAAAGCTATTGCTTACCTCAGGGTTTTATCCCAGCTTCCTGTGACTAAGAGGTTCATCTCTTGAATCCAAGCAACTTCTTTCACAGGAGCATCATGCATGCCAACAGTTACAGGTTGACCACCAGACAGTGGCCACATCTTTACTTGCTTGTCACAACCTCCAGAAAAGACAGTGGCCCCATCATCCTTCCATGTAGAGCATAAAACCTTCCAAAATTTACATAAAATAGCAGTTAACCAAAAAGTGAAACTCAATGAAACAAAAATTCTAAAAGTATGATAATAGATTTGTTACCGGTTGGTCATGAGATATAGATGCCTTGGGGACTGTGCCGATATTGGTTCCACTTCGCATTACTTCCCAACAACGTACCTAAGGAATTCCATGCAAATTAGTCCTCACATCACCCTTCAAGCACAGGGAATTATTGCGGGTTTAGGGTCAAACAAGTACATCATTCATTAATAACTAACAAATTCCGCAAGTCACACATGAAAGCATTCCGGAGTAGGAATTATAGCTGACTTCATAGATGCATAATGAATTAAAATGAGTAGATAAACTTCTCATGTAAAGCCACTGAACAAAATATTCCAAACCTCTATCCTATCCTACATCTCACATTCTCTAGATGATTGAATTTCACTAAATGTACCATCCCAATATTCTTGATTAGCATCACTCAATGGTCAGACATAGTATCACCACATAGATTTATTGGAAATTTTTTAATGAAGAAAACAAACTAACCTGATTATCCCATGAAGTAGCCACTAAGAAATTTGCCTTGGGGCTGAAACAGAGGCTTGATACTGAGTCACTGGGAGGTTGTGCGACCTTTATTTACCATAGCCAAAAGTTAGACAAATTTACAACAACAACAACAACAACAACAAACCTTTTTCAATCACAACAAATGACAGAAAAAAATATCATATATAAACAGTTCATTAAATTCATACCTCAGTAGACTTATTAGGATTTGGATTCGCCGCAGTAGCCGCGCCAAATGCCGACATTGAAGCTGATTACGAGCTGAAACAAGTTAAACAGAAATCATTTCGTAAACAGAATATAAAATCTCAAACTGCATTTGCATAAATCGTGACATTAAAATGTACCAGAGAGAATAGTTGCGCCTTGATTAATAAACCCTAGATTTTGATTAAACCCTTAAAATGTTCATAGTATATTCGCGGGGACAGAGATTGAAAGAAGATGCATTGACGGGATACCGGAGCTTCTGAGAATTGAAGATTTGTATATTTAACCGTATGCCAAGCGTCTTTCGAACGCTACGCGCCTCCTAAAAGCGGCAATTGCGAAGCTGCTCTTCCGAAGGAAGCCCTGACCCGGGCATCAACTTCGGCCCAAGAGGACAATAATTGTGGGCTGGGCTTTCAGTTTTGGGCTATTAGTAGTAGCATATGGGCCTGCAAAAGTTTACAAACAGGCTTCTGAAACAATTGATGGGCCTACCCACTTCTATCCGGGCAGTTATGCCATGGACCCGGGTCCACCTTACAAGATAGACCTGGATCAAGATACACAATTTATATACTGAATGTTCACAATTTAAATCCACTCTCCTACCTTGATTTCTACAATTTCCGACTAATCATTTATAATGCATAAATCCACAAAAAATAAACCAAAAAAAAAAAAAAAAAAAAAAAACTTAACACTACTACTATGTGATTAGCACAACAAATAATGCTCATAAAATTAATACATATTTTAATTTACGAAAAAATTTATAATCATTATCCGAATATGCAATATCGATGAAATCCGCCTTATACTCCATGTGATAAGGAAGTAATACCTATATATTTGACAATATAAAATTCTCAAAAAAATTAGAAAACTATGTAACTCTCTTATCTTCTTGTGGGAAAGGGTAGGAATTACGAACGTTTCACAAATTTCTTGGAAGATTCTTGCATTGACTAATAAGACCTATAATTGCCTCACATGTAAGCTAAATAGTTGACTAATAATAATTCATTTTTTATATTAAAAAATTATTAGCCTAACTATTAATTTGTCCATTATGGACATAACATAGTACGGATTATTATTTTATGGAATTTGAGACATAAATATATATGAAGTAGTTGCACACAAGTTAATTTATCAAAAGATTCAAAACCAACCAAAATGAAACATGAATTGCCAATAGTCTTGCCTGATTGGTTTGATAACAATAATATTTCTTGACTTAAAAATGTTTGTCTAGCTTCCATTTCCCATTTGGTTTGTCAAAAGTTTTACCAATTAAATACTTGAAAATGAAAATTTTCATTATCATGGTCGGAGTTGTTTAAAAGTAGTGATGATTTTGTCCCTTTTTAAGTCAAAATTTATTTTCAAAATTGGTATCGAAAATATTAAATATTATTCAGAAATTTTAAATGTTATATAATTCAGTAGTCATTCAAAAGTGTGGTTGGTCCAATGACGTGCTATAGGGTTTTCTAATTTTGTATTGACTCTAACGACGACGATGATTGATCAACAATTACATTGAAAGTTTGAAGATGATTTGTAAAGGGGTGTTTGGTTGGATGGAAATCAAATTCCATGGAAAATATTTTCTATGAAATGTAGGAAAATGTTGTTTTACCTTGTTTAATTTGGTTGGATGGAAAATCTTTTCCATGGGAATTTGACTTCCCAAAGGTGAAGGAAAAGAAAATCCTATCTAAACATTGTATTTTGTTTTCCAAATGAGTTGGGAAGAAAATATAGTAATATTAGACTATTTTGCCCTCATCAAAATTTATTAACTACACATGTATAAATTATTGTGAAGGGCATATTGGTCTTTATATTCATAATTCTTTACCATTCCAAACCCAACCGAACAATAGAATTCATATTTCCAGTAATTTCTTTTCCACTAACCAAACAATGTAATCTATTTTCCTGGTAATTTGTTTTCCATGGAATTTGAATTCCATTTCCCTTCAAATATTTTTCAGCGAACCAAACGTGCTGTAATTGTACTTTTAATGGCAATGGTGTTCCGAATATGGAATTCTATGGTAAGTTGCATGGAAACTATGAGGTTGACCAGAGTTTGGTTTTCCAAAACCTAATACAAGTAGGAATAACTAGAATTATCGAGTTAAAAATAGATATTTGATTTCTTTGCAATAATGTTCATATTTAAATGTTGGATTATCTCTTAATGGACTTATAACATATTGATTGAGATATAACCATGAGCTAGATCTGCTCTAGTCTTTATTATCTAAAGTATTGTCTTTGACTTTTCGCTATTCAAATTCTTTATGATATGGCATCGCCATTACAATGTATCTGCCCTATTCTTTAATAATTGTGCCAAAACAAGTCAAATTCCACAATAAAGTAATGCATACTACTACTTTTGCATTTAATTTAATATTTCAGATACACAATAATGTTTACAATATACTCTAGCCTGCGAGTATTCGTGTAGTAAATTGTGTCTATTTATGTTGATTCTCACATTCTCATCAGACACATTTAAGTATCCGAAAGTGTGCTCTGAGTAAATTATGTTCCTTATAATAACTAGTAAACGACACAAGACGCTAGATAGGAGACGAATTAAACAAAATAATTGATAATGTTTTTTTCCGATTCATTATTTTTCTATTGAAATTCCACAGTGTACTATTAGCTTCCACAGCCATTATTATATTCATCCAACACTTCCACAAAATTTCATACCAAAAACCTTATCCGAATCTCACAACAATTTCCTCCTAACTTCTCATTGCACTGTCAATAATTTTGTGTTTTAATCTTCATCAGAACTATAGTACATACGCATACTGTGCAACCTAGAGAATGCATGCATATATGATATATATAGTTTTATTACTTCAGACCTAGTCATGATATTTGCAAGCTCTAATTTTTATACACTTATGTACTGATAAACTGATACAATTTTTTATTTTTTATTTTACCACCTAATTGAGGGTTTTCAACTAAAAATACATGAGTTTTATTTGGACTATTTTTTGTGTTATTTGCAAAAGCACTTCTCGATAAATATTACCGGTACTAGTCAGAGTGGTCGATATTATATTCCAATTTTTGGAGAACTTAGTCGTGTAGGGCATGGCACTGGTGTAAACTCTTTTTTTTTTTTTTTTTTTTTTTTAATATATACTATTTATTTATTTATAAGGGAAAATGACACTTTTTCCCCCTGAGTTATATACCTATAGCATATTTTCCCCCTAAATTATTGAAGTGGTTGTTTTTTCCCCTGAAATGTTAAATAGACATATTTACCCTTAAACTAAATATTTGATTTATTTTTTTTCTCCAACAAATTATGACCATAATTTGGTTCAAACCAAACAAACACTATAGCAACCAAACCGAAATATTCCAATTACAATTTAGAATCGAAATTCGATATTTAAAGTTTATTAAAATCGTGAACCGGAACGGACGGTTCATGTTCCGAACTGAAAAAATAAAATACATTTATTGTTGAATTTAGACTATTTTAAAATAAAAAATAAAATTTTAAAATAAAGACGGTTCAAAATCGCGAATCGGATCGTAACCGCCCGTTCACGGTTCAAGATTCAATTTTTTTTATACATAATTTTAATAAATTGACATTTAAATATTGGGTTCTAGATCTGAATTATAATCAGAAACTATTAATTCGATTGCTTTAGTATCCGGTTCAATTCAAACCGAACCGTGGTCATCCCTACGTATACGCAATATAATTTGGAGTAGTAAAATAAATAAAATGGTTACTTTAAGGGTATAAATGTCAATTTAATATATCAGAGATGAAAAAGCACCACTTTTAGAATAATTGAGGGGGCTAATGTGCTTACCTAAATAATTGAGGGGAAAAAAGTGCTATAAGTATATAACTCAGGGGTAAAAAGTGTTATTTTCCCTATTTATAATAAAATTCAAATATTGGGAGAATATATATATGAACCTCTTAATTTCCACGAAGTGAGAGGACATGTGTTGCAGTGTTGCTATGTGGTGAAAATATGAGGAAAACAAGGAGGTGGGTATGTATTAGGTCGTTTTCTTTCTTTTTTTTTTTTTTTTTTTTTTTTTTTTTTAAACCAAAATTTATTATAGTTTCTAAATATACTTTCAAAGATTAAGGGATAATATAATATACTTATAAGTCAAGATCCTCTAATTCTATCATAAAAGATAACTCAAAATTGAGATTTTGATCTCAATTCAGATTATCTATAATACCGGAGCCAGTGATTCTCACTCTAGATATCTCTAATTTTTTATTTTTTTTGAAAGTCTAGATATCTCTAATTTATTTTTGACTTCTTTTGAATTACCTTATTAAGCAATAGATAGATAAATAAACTACTCCCTCAATATTCTTAAAATTAAAGAGTTTATGTGATGAGATTGTATTAGGACAGACCGTCCCAACTACTGATACTCTAACTCTAATATAATCATTTTAATCTCATTTTTCTTGATCTTAAATACACCCTAGCTTACACACATGTGCCTTGAGTTTTGATGCGATGGTTTCGATCTAGTCTCTATATAAATTCTAGATTTCTAGATATAATATAATTGGACCAAATTAAACTTAGGTAGGTAGCTTTGAACTGACCTGTCGGCGGTCTGAATCTGAGCTCCTCAGTCCTCAACCAATCAACCTCAGCTCCGACATATGGTGAGGAAAGGTTTGAAGTTTGAACCGTTTAATTCCACCCGAGTATATGTTGCATTATCTGGCCTGGGGACCCCACGAGAGAGGAAAAATTAAACACCATGCATGCACGTAATACGACGACGTCTTTGTCTGCATGTAAGACGACGATCGAGAGACGACCAAACTTTTTGAGTCGAAAAACACCCTCCTTTGCTGCTATATATATAAATCTCTTCATCATATCATCCCTCCATTATTCCTGCAAATAAACTCATCATCCTATACTAGCTCTAATCTGAACAAACCCATGATCATGGCTCAACTACACATGATTCTCAAGGAGCCCATGATGAGTCCTCCCAGGTAATTATTATGATTACATACAGTTATATGTTTAAAGTGGACAGATTCCTTGTACACACTCAGCATTTGGTCATGTCTGCTGAGTCATTGAGTATTTGAGTTATAGTAATTTATATCCTCCCAAATACTTTATAGGCCGGGTGTGGGGGTTCTTGGGGTTGAGGAGAAGAATGATACATGCAATTAATTAGTAATTGATCATATTTTTGCATTGTGTGAAATTAAAATTTTTGCCTAATCTCATGTTTTTCTAACATGGTCGCTGCGTGCTGTTT